TTTAGTTCTTACTGAGACACTTCCGCAAAATCACAATTCACATTGACGGAATTTCAGTGGAATTATAATATAATTTATACTGATTCTTTGTCACAGGGGTGTAGGAATGATTTTCTTCATGGGGGGGCCAAATTCTAAATATTTGTTGGCGCTTCGCGCCACAGCCTAAATTGTTTGGCGCTTCGCGCCAAAGCTTGAATTTCGAGGGTAAGGACAAAAGGAAATTGCAGCATGTGCGGTATCGCGATTTTTCACGTTTGCCGCGACAAGTCGCAATTTTTCAGATCCTGGCCTCACGACAAATCGCGATTTTTGCAGTTCTCCGCGTCAAATTGTGCATTTTTCTTTAAATCTGAGGACTAAATTCGCGTATTTTCCTTCAAATCTGTGGGCCAAATATCACGTTTTCTATAATTAATATATGAAACCAATCAGTATTACATCCACAACCTTTCGAATGTAGGTGCGGACTTCGGAAACCGAAAAAAATATTTTCGGCTCAGAATGATCAGGGTAGCATGAAACATGAACAAAAGAAATTTCCAGAAAAACTTTGAAAAATTTGGACTTAGAAAATTTTCGGTCCGAGTCATTCTCGATACGTACCTCTGAAAGCAGAGCTCCCTCTTCCGAGCTCGTATTGCGAAGGGGAGGCCTGCCTTTCAAGATCGAATTACAAAGGTGAACCCTCGAGTCCAAAATCGTATATCGAACTTCGAAAACCGAAAAAAATATTTTCGGCTCAGAATGATCAGGGTAGCATGAAACATGAACAAAAGTAATTTCCAGAAAAACTTTGCAAAATTTTGACTTAGAAAATTTTCGGTCCGAGTCATTCTCGATACGTACCTCTGAAAACAGAGCTCCCGCTTCCGAGCTCGTATTGCGAAGGGGAGGCCTGCCATCCGAGATCGCATCACAAAGAGGAACCCTCGAGTCCAAAATCGTATATCGAAGTTCAAAAACCGAAAAAAATATTTTTGACTCATAATGATCAGGGTAGCATGAAACATGAACAAAAGTAGTTTTCAAGAAAACTTTGAAAATTTTTGACTTTTAAAAATTTTCGGGGAAATTAAAAAGTTGGCCCTTTTTGGCCCCTTGCCCAGATTTCATGGGGGGGCGATGGCCCCCCCTGCCCCCCCGCTTCCTACACCCCTGCTTTGTCATATCATTCTAAGGACAATTATAAATAATAATATGATTACACAATATCGAGTATCCACCCATGGGTCCCTTGCATACAGATTAATTGCACGGAATTGCATGACGAAGATAAGAAATATGTATCATCATCATAACGTCCTGTTCTCGACAATCTAAATGATCACTATAATAACTCTGGAGTCTGGATATATAATATTATAATATTGCCCATTTCTACTCTATCATTTCCGTTAAATTTTACATTTTCTCGTTCACTCAAGACAGCGTGGTCTGTGAAGTGAACACAGCATATAACATCGTTACAACATTTCCAATATTACAACGATGTACAGTAAAACCCCGATTTACCGCGCCCCGATTTACCGCAAACCCCGATCTACCACGGCTTTTCTCTTTCTCCCAAACACCGCGGTAAATCGGGGTTTTACTAAACTTGGTTTTGTAATTGTAGGCACGTCTCTTGATCGCGGTAAGACTGTGCTTGATATTAATTGGAACTTACTTACTTTATGTTCAATGTTCATGTAAGTTAGTAACGATCCTACATACTTATCATGTTCGATTTGTCCAACTGCTTTGCTGACAGCTTGAATATTTATGTTATTAGCAATGTTATGTATGGTTATCCACTTTCGCTTGTAAATTATAACTACGTTGTCATATGTATTGACTAAATTAATTATGTTTTTTAGCGTTCAAAGATGCTTACTGCTGGAGCTAATGACACTGTAACGGATGTAAAGGAAGTAAGTGACATTGTAACCTCAGAACTCAAAAACGAAATAACATGTATAAGAGACGTCTCAGAACTCAACACCGTTATAGTACTCGATGTAGCCTCAGAACTCGACGACACTTTATTAGATGACTTAGAGTTCGTCAAAGCGCACGGCTACGTAAAATCTCAAGTGTGCTGGATTTGCAAGGATCCCTTCAGCTCTGTGGCCACCATAGAGCCCTGCTATTGTCCTCCTACAATCGGCTTAGCACATCCAGCATGCCTAATCAACTGGATGAACACATATTGTAAGGGGAGATGTCCGAGATGTGCAGCAATGTTCCGAGTGAAAACTGAGCAAATACCTCGCAGTATGTGGCAGACCGATCCGTTGTTCAAAGAGAGGAAGCCGAAATATATCATGATGGTTACACTTAATCTGACTGTCACAATAGTTTGTTTTGTGTCAATAGGCCACCTGCTTTCCACCGAACGATCACCAGAAAGAATCGCTATAGCAGCGATAATAGGGGTCATATATTGTATATACATATTTTATCTATCCAGATTGTACGTCAGAATTTACGAGAGGATAAAGATTTACAATAATAAAGTTGTGCAGGTTTTTGATAAGGAATATCAAGACGGGGCTGTTGAGAGACATAATCTGTCCAGTTACATTGATCAGTCTGAGCTGTATTAGTAGAGTATTAGTAGAGTATTAACAGAGTTATCTTTTCTCTTAATTATCGAATTCAGACAAAGTTTAAATTCAGTATGCTATTGAAGACCTTTCTGGATTCCTTAACATATCAGTTCGGATCAGATACCCATCAGAGAGACCTATTGAATGCTAGCGGAACTGGCAACTGGCAACTGCAATTGTTGCAATATTACAACTTCTTGATGATTTGAGAAGAACTTAAGAACTATTCAGTTGGTTTTCAAATCGATTGGACGAGGGTAATATACTGATATCTTTAGAGCCGATTCTTGAGAGCAGATTCTTGACAATTTTAAAAAATTGGGAGTTCGTGTCAGACCTTATTAGGTCCCTTAGAAGGGATTATTTATTCTTTAAAAAATCTTTAGAATTTAGATTTGTCTTATTTTCAATTGAATAGAAATCATTAAAGTTTAACAGTTATAATAAAACACGTAAAAGAAAATTCTAGAACAAGACTAGTTTTAGTTTCTAAATAGGGACAGATAATGCAATATGTCCTTGTGTTGATATTATTATCTTTTTAATAGTTTTAATTATATGCATTTGGTTAACAGTAAATCGAGTGGGAGTCTAAACAATTTCGTTTTACTTCCATCATTCGCGTGATTTCGACAAAAGCGATTGAGCACCTGTCAAATGATCTAGTAGAACCATAGTAAGCTATTTTTACCGTTTTGAGCAGACTTTCCCTTGCTTGATACAGTATCACTATTCACTATTCACTAGACAGATCGTGCTCCAGACGATCTGCAGCAGAGCGTCAAAATTATTGGAGCGCTAAAATTTTGCGCGAAATTTCATCTTACTCAAAAGCTTTCAAAAACAACCATATAACTTGGCTTCTGAGAATTAAATCTATTTATGATTTGAGTTGTTGAGGAATATCAACAGTCCAGTATAACGGACTGCAAGACATATCTTTTAGCATCATTCCTCAAAAGACGGTCTCCTAGATTTGTCCATGTAAACTTTCCAGACAATTAATTGTAAATACTGTATAAATTTACGGGCCAAATGATCGCCGGGGGGACTCATAACCAAACAAGAGGCACTTTAGTCGACTTGCTGTGAGGTGCCTCAGCTGCACAGGTTGGGGTCGGTTAAAGTATTCTTCGAGAAAGTTTACAAAAGTCCTCTGGTATGTTGGTTTGGATACATCACAATTAGAATTAAGATTAATTTTAGTTCAATTTGATCCTTTTTGAATAAATAAATAAATACAATAATAATAATATATGATATATATTATATATATTTGATCTTGCCACACTGAGTGAAAGCAACGCGATGCTTATATTTCAATTTTTGCATCGCGCGCTACGTTTAATACAACAGAAAATTATTCAAAATGACATGCCCGTCGCTGATGCGGGGAAGCGATATATTATGCACGTTGATCTGATCGTTTTTGTCACAAGATACTACAAATTAGCAGGCCCCCTCCAAAACTAATTAGATACTATTATTGAGCGTTCTGTTAGCGAAAAGGAGGACGTTTGCAAGTGTTTGGGGCTCAACAGAAAAGTATGGAGCTGAGATGTTGGAGAATTTTCGAGCGTGCGTAAAGATGTTTCTAATTGTTTCTGGATATAAGGAACTATTTACTATGGAATGAAGTATCGATGCAAAATGAGTTCAATATTAACATTGCAAACAGCAAAACCCACTATATATATATATATGGAGTTCAATCTGTTACTTGCAACAAGTTAATTTGTCAGGTGTTCAGGTTCTTGTGTAAGATTAGGATAAGAGAAATCTGAATTCAGAGGAATAGTGGCACTGCATCAACTGCTCTTGCGTAAAAGCTACCACAACTTCCTGATATTAAACTGTAAACCATCAAATTCGCAGGCTATTTTTAAAATATCCAATTCTTTTAGATTTTGAATTGATGTCCCTTTAAAACTTGACGAATTGATTTCAGAGTGGTAGCGCATAATAATGTCAGATGAAATATTGCAATGGTTCAGAAATATTGGATTACATGTTCCTCAAAAGCAATAGTAATGTCGAGCATAAGAAACTTGGTGTTCATAAAATGATATTATAATTCAATTGCATTACGTAAGGTCATCCGATGTTCCTAAATAAAATGACATCGAGATTTGAAGTAATGCACTGCTCTTACCAACTGTTGTCACCTATTACAGATTTCACTATTTTAAGGTGGGACCATGCTATTTTAGTTATATTGCAATAGATTTTTAAAACATTTAATAAAAATCAACATTTCGAGGTTCCACGGCCTTCTCTGATTTTTCGCTTTGACATTCAATACCAGTATGGTTGTTTTGCAGATTAAAAAGTATTGTTTTCATATAGTAGGTTCAAAATCTCTCGAAAAGTGAGCATAATATTATATATATTATAAGTAAATATAAATACCTTGGATATGAGCGCAGTAAGAGTTGCAGTGAACCAGATGGGGGAGAAGTAGAAGTTGTAAAAGAGGGCCATTTGTAGGGGCAGACTGCTGATTATCTCACTACCTGCAAGCACTCAGTCAAACGGAAAGCCAACAAAGCCAAAAACATACCTAGGTATCGACTATTGAAAGCATTTCATATATTGGTGGGCTGTGCTTCAATAAGCGATATCGGTACACGAACTGAGTTACAAGCTTGCTTAATTTATAGCGACGACAACAGATTTGGACAATGAAATTCTAAAGCAGATCATGCTAAATCATCATCAGTATCTTGGTTATGTGATAAAATAGTCAGAAACCAAAAATTACAAACCGAGAAAATTATCTGATCTGGAGTCTGTTCGGATCCCAAGTCTGTTCTGAACCGACTGCACGATGTTAAACTCGCTCATCTTGGACTAACTTTCTTCAGAATTTTCCGGCGTATCAGTTTGTCATTCACAACAATTACATACTTGAATATCTGGCAAGGATAAACGGTAAATTATACACAACACGAGTAGACGCAGGTACTCAGCCGCAGCCTGTGTATATAATTAATAATTAGCAGATCTAATTGGAATCATACCAGATTTTAAATTTGTAATCCATATTCATGTCTAATCACTGAAGACGACTTAACCATCAAAATTATTATTCCTTTCAGTTACGAGATGTTCTGACATCCTGTCTGGCTTGACTTGCCTGTTTACTTCGTAGATCTCAAGTAATTTGCAAGGTTAGGTAAGCGACTAAGCGAGCGTAATTACTAATTATATCAATTAAATTATGTTAGATCATACAATTAGATTACTTTATACAGCATACAGTGTTTTCATTTGCCGGGAGACTTTTAGTAGACACTGCAAGCAATGCGAGGCACATCATGTCATATGATTCAAGTTCGTGATCCAGTATTAATTTAGGGATATATGGTCAAGTGGTAAAACTCTTATGAGATTTAGTTTTAGTTTTGGAGTAAGTATGATTGACAACATTCCTACGTAGGGATCTAATCCAGTAAACTAGTTCTAGATCTAAGCATTTAAAATCTGAACTGTAACAGACTTTTATACGGTACCTGTTATACTAATAGATGGGTTGTAGCTATAGTTATAGCGATTATACTGACATAATATTATATAATTTAATATAAAACTTGCTGTCAGCATCAGCAATCCCAAATCAGAATTAGGAATATACATATATTTAACCAACGCGACCTATGACTGGCGACTATAATTTTGCTGCGATAATCACCGTTTTATGGGAGTGGTAATTGCAGCCTAGGCTATGGCTGTCTAGCGACGCCCTAATTCATTATCAAGGCTCACCTTAAATAAAGACCAAATCCCAATATATAAACATGCGCCAGTACAGAAAATCATTTCTGGACAATGACTCATAAGTTGAAATCAAACCTCCGTCTTACAATTAACGCCCATGATAATTCATAATTTCTTACCATCAAGTTGCCCGAACATTCAACAACCGCTCACATCTGACTGCCATCCAGTTGCAGGAGAATAATAACGTAATATACGTATTATAATGATAGATGCTTAAAGATGCGAGCATTCTTGACATTTCCGAGCAACAAGCATGATGCACTGATGACAAATTAAAGACGGCTGCGTGAGAGGGTTCCTCAAGCATACCTCCATCATATCACTCTGTAGTCTATGTACGTTGGGTGTGTGAGGATACTATCTCACTAGTTGTATCATGATATTATTATCTAATTCGTAGTACTGACGCTGAGGTCATAACTTTTCAGATTACGGTCTGCTCCTTGTGGTACTAATCTTACCACAAATCTGCCACTAAACAGTGAAAAATACAGCATATATTATCGAGGCTAAATTGATAAAACTGATGAGGTAGAGGCATTATACTATTATAGATCGCGGCTTAAACTTAAAGACTGGCAGTAGGTTTGAACGACAACTGGGATAATTCAAGACATTTAAATGAAGGTATGTTCCTCATGTGATCAACCAACGAGACTACCAATAGTTCAGCTGCGGCGTATAACACCTTACTACGCTTAAAAACATTCTCACAAACTCTTAAATCATATTATCTCAGTTACACCTCAACATCCGCTGTAAGTACTTAGCTGCCACTTCAGTGACCACAATTCTGAATATTCTATTCTCTTCTTTTCAGTCGGCTAACAAGCACAACAAGCTCATCTCCATCCTCACCACCTGATCTACACACTGCATCACGTGACTTACGCACTATATTCTTACTCCGTGTACAATGTACACTATATATCCATACATTTCATTGTCTCATTACTCGACTGTATGTTGGGGAACAGGAAGAGATCATCTCTCTCTCTTTAACGAGAGTGGAGCTCCGCTTGCACCGTCCCCCAAACAGAATCCAACAAACTATATTATCTCGACATCTTAGCAACGGTAATTACCTCATCTTAGAATTATCTAGCAATTAGACAGACCGTTGCCATGGAAATGACAAAATTATCAACAGTACTTAGTTGAGGAGATCATATTTAGCAGGTCAAATAGAGAGGTGCTCTGTGTTATTTATGTAGTTCTCTCATTAATATTTGTAATTTGGTATTCAGTGAAAATGGAAATTATAACTATTCTGGGAGCAATAATTGTTAGGGCAAATTGTTCTGAAGGAAAATTGTTCTGAAGGAATATTGTTTGATGAGATAAGCTGCAGTAAGTTCTGATTTGTATTCTAACTGTCATGGTCATTATGTTTAAATGAGAATAACCACATAATTCTGATTTAAGAGTTGAAGCTAATTTAACAATTTTATACATCATCTTGGTACTAGAAGATTGAAGAAGCAGTAAAATAACAATTTCAAACAAAAGATAAAAACTCGTAAATTTTGTGTACATTTGAAGAAACTGAAAATTATATAATATGTACTTTGAGAATCTGTAATTTAATCTAAGCTTCACAAAGCTAACCAGACTGTCTTATTTACAAAAAGGATTGGAACCTAAAATCTGCTGTAGGAGTGAACTGTCATAATGATAAATGATCCAGCCATAACAAGAAATTATGCCAAAATTAATCGTCTCTTTCGTGGCTCTTTGCGCTAAATCTGACATTTAAAACAAAAAAGTTCCATGTCATTTTATCAGATAATAGTTTTTACGAATTACGTAAACTAAAAACAAAACGTTTGTAGAGATATTTACATAATGTACACGATCAGATAATATATCAATTTACCACATGCACTAGGTAGTAAATTCTACAATTATGAACAAATAAGTTAATATTGACGTACATTATATTAGGAAATATAATGAAGATCAAGGACTACAAAATTTACTTTTTCAATTAACAGAGGTTGATTTCCTGTGTAATAGAATGTCCTATGAGTTTGTCGGTTTGTCTGTGTGTTCGTTTGTCAGGAAGTCTGTGTGTCTGTCTGTGGGTCAGTCAGACTTTCTGCCAGTAAAGAATTTACTGACACTGTCTAGTAACGTTGATACAGTTGGACTTTCGCAATCTGTAAAAGATGAAAATCATTAGATTTGGACTAACAAATCTGCGAAATCTCTGCCCTATTCCGGTCAAGTGACATAACATCTTGAATTAAACTCTTACTAAAACTCTATATAATTAAAAAACGTTTTCTCAACATGGTAGTATTGACAACAAATACACACACATTATTATTATTATTCTCTGACAAAATTAAAATCAAAATGTTTGGGAGCCACCGTCACCACTCTTCTTTAAGAGCGTTTCTACCAATCTTATCTTAGCTTTAACTTGCTTGTAATCATTATACTCCAACTCTTTCGGACCTCGGTCCTCTTTTAAAACCTTTCTCCCGTGTTTATTGAGAAACGCTTTCTCATAATCACGTAAACTTTTCCTTAAAATTCTCTTATTATCTTGTAACTCTGACATTTTACGGACCAGTTCATCCATTGTAAGGTTGATAAGTTCCATACCTGAGGCTACGGAGGCAGTGTTGCCCATGGTAACGTTCCACGTGTCCCCCAACTGATTGTTAACTCTGGTGGGAGTTCTCTCACCCCCACTAGGACCTGTATCGTTCTTTTTGTTCAGGGCAAGCTTAACTTTACGATATCTGTCATATATTGGTCTCATAGTGTCTTTCTGGTCTTTTGTTTTGGGCCGACCGTAAGTTTCCTCAAAATGTAGCAAGAGCTTCTGGATGCAGAGTTTCTCATCTGCCAGCTGAGAATGATTCATAAGCTTCAAATCGTGAGGCCGTCCCGCTAACTTCCTTTTCTCGTCCATTTTAGAGTGAATCATTGCATGCTGATTCACTAAAGTAGACTTGGGTCTATTAGAATCTACAGCCTTAGCGTCCAACAAAAGTCGTTTTAATTCGTTTAGCTCTTTGATTATACTAGCGATGGGTCTACGTTCGTTTCCAACTGGGGGTCTATGATGCGCCTGCTCGAAACTCGCATCAAACGCAACTACTTGCTGTTTAAGCAGAGCTATTTTACTGCTCAAACTAGCAATGCTGTTGCTACTGGAGGGAGACGTCTTGGGTGACACATTCACACTCGGTACACTGGAGATCTCAGATTGACAAGTTAATGAGCTGACGGACTCAACCTTGGAGAGTTTCTTGAGGTTTAACTTGGGGACAATGTCCCGTTGTGGTGACTCAGGACCTGTTTGAGTTTTAGATTTGGAGATTTGCCGTCGTTTCTGAGGCGAGGCCCGGCCTTTCGTTACAGAAGCTAGGGGCTGGCAGGTTGCCAGATTGAACATGCCGTCAGATGAACGTCTGTTAAAAGGCGGACTCGGAGACGGACTTGGATGTCTGTCAGATTTACCCTCCTTAATTTCGCTGTTATAAGAACCCGTTCTGATGCTATTCATGGCAACACAGCTGTTCCTATTAGCATGATAATCTGGTTTTGGTCCTTTCCGTCTGATCCTCTCTCCCCCATTTGATAACTTCTGTTCATTCGAGTTGTTCTTATCATTGTAGATACTGAAACTATGATCACTCGTAGTTGGAGCAGGAATGAGCATCTCCCAGATACACTCCTTGATAGTCTGTTGGAGGTTGAATTGAATGGAGAGGTTGCCAGACCCAGTGAGAGGAGACATAGAGGAGAGGGAGTCATGTGACCGAGCCAGGATGTCCTCGGTCTCCGGAGAAGGGGAGTCTTGAGCCAGACCTGATAACCAGGTATCGTCCCAATCTTTCGCTTTGTTGTTAGCCACCTGAAATAACAAAAAGTTTAATTGGTGAATACTATTATGATTTAGGAGAAACATTTAATTGTGAGTCTAAGGAGCTTAGAGCTTCGACCATGGAGGAGCTTAGAGTTTCGACCATGCTGTAAGTTTCCCTCGATAAATTTAATCATTCTTCCGATTCCATTATTTACGAATACAAAAGCTCGCAGCTGAGTCGATGAGGTAAAAATACATCTAAATATGAGTATTGAGTTTCTTATTAAATTTACATTTCAGTATCTTCGCTTTGAATTATTGCTATTTCATGACCCCACTGTTTTTCATGATGTTAGTTAAACACGTACAATATTATGTACGTTCAATTTTGAAAAAATGAAGGCACCGTTTGCATTTTTATTCTAGATATGGAAATATGATAGATAAGTTCGAATCACGGGACTTGTAGAGAGCCAACAGGAAGTTCAAATTCATGCAGATCTAATCTTAATAGCTGCAACCAAATTTACAACCAAATCATTTGGAGAGATTTGGCTGCTGACCATTTTAATTGCCTTGTCATTGACTGTCTGTTAAATTTATCGTTATGATCATAAAAATCATGTTATGTAATCTCGATATCAAATCACTGTAACCTAGCCAGGATTAAGCTATTTATAGAATTGTTGAATGATCCGATTGTTTTGCCGACATAACAAGCATAATAGGATTGAACAGAGATTCATAAATCCGCTAGTAGTAGCACAGTACTACAATCAGAGCAAATTTGTTTGTTATATTTTAGGAAATAATCATTCTCTGAGGGCTGTGCTGAACGGTCGGTCCACATTTTCAGATAATTTTCTTATTTCCGGCTAATCACAAAAGACAATGGTCTATCTATACACAATATAACAGTAATTGAACAGTTAGCAGGATCTGGCAATTGGTGGACTCTCTTTTTAATTGCACTAATCGGCTATCATGTTAAATGGGGCCAATGTATTCTGTTCAAAGGTTTGGTAGCAGCTTGCAAATGGTAGTATTTGGTTGGTTCAGGTTCCAATTTGTAACAATAAAGTTACCAGGAAACAGTTACCAGGAAACAGTTACCAGGATACAGTTACCAGGATACCTGTAATAATGCAGTTACCAGGATACCTGTATTCACTACATTTAACATCAAATACTATTTAAAGCCATGAATTTGGAATTACTATTGAGCTTATATTCTTTTAGGTAAGGTTAAAGAATCACGATTCTTCATAATAAATTGTAGGTACAGAAGCTAATACTGCTAAGTCTTTCCAGTACTCTATAGCTATGTAGAAACTTCCTAAAAATAATTTCGGACTGAGTTATGTTCAATTAAAAACAATGGACCATGATACAGGAGGGACTATATATACAGTATACACCTGGCACTTACACACAACATTACCACGTACAAACTACACATGGTCCCAAACAACACGCATGGTCGGACTGGACGGGGACTGGACTAACAGTGGCTTCTTGATAGCTGATATTATGTGGCTAAGTTTGGTTTTTAAGGCACAGTGAGCACTGACATTTTCTAATAAGCACAATATCTAATAGATGGCACAATGTTGGAGCGGGAATGTTACTAGCTACATAGTTGCTTTATAAAGATCATGAAATAGCCACCCTTAAAAAATGTTCAAAATTAACTGAAAGAATTTCAAACTTCAGGATTAGTTAATGAAGAATTTAGCTGTTGGCACAATTTTTAAAAGTTATTTCATTTCAGTAAAGAATGCAGAATGCAGATGTCACATGTTAAAATATCACATTACTAAAATACACAGTACACACCGGGATCATTGCATGAATATCTAAGAACAAATTTGAAAAAAGTGTAACCAAGACGCACGACTGCAACAGAAATCTATAAGCGATATACACTATACAGTTGACTTAAATAGTTAGATGAAACGCAGCCGTATTCAATGTGCACCTTTAATATGGAGGAAATACCACGGCGTGCCCTACCGTACTAATAAAATCTGCGGCTTTTGTTTGCCACATATTTAGTTCGCACCAATTTGACCGTGTTTTTAACTCTACCGATGGTGATATTTAAAATTTAAGCGCCTAAGGAAGGTGTAATCTCTCACCTGCCATAAACTATACTTAATTTTTCACCCCATTCACTGTATATCATATGAAACCAGCTGTAGTTGCTATGGTGGTCATAGCAACCTGTAAAACTCAGAAATCGTCATTAATATTTCTAATTTTAAACTTTTTACAGAAATGAATTATCTTGAAACATTTTGAGAAATTGTTTTAAAATTGTCAGAAAAGTAATGGCGGACATTTTTGGATAATACTGAATTTTAAGTTCCCATAAGATTTTGTAACTCAGACTTGAAACTTGATCTATGAACAGAAGAGTAATTATGCGTCACATAACTTTAAATCTAATTATTGCTCCATGTATACTCTTCTGATGCTGTCAGCTGCAGTTTATTCACAGATGGTGGTTGCTATGGTTACCGACTAGATATTTGATATTCAGTCAACATGATACGGGACAAATCGTGCTACACCCAAGATAATGTTATGAAATCTTGAGAGGTTAAAGATTTTACAAAACTCGAGCGATTTGGTATAGCCGACTTCATTATATTAATTTACACGTGTCAGTAAGTGTCAGGTATGGCGACAACTTTAATTAAAAATTACAGCTATCAGGTTGCGCTATGTTCGCTGACTTATAAAGAAAAGTTCAATATAATGGCCATGAATTCTGCTTCGATCAATCTTGACATCTTGCATTTTGACAAAATACCCGCCGCACACTTCATTCGATTTAAATGCGATGGCAAATGATTTGATAGGTATGAATCTCCCAATAACGGAGTTATATTAAGAGAGCTTTAAAATTTAAATAAGTTTTCTGCCCACCTTTTTTTGGTGGTTAACCGCCTACCTTATATTTTCCTTACCAACGAGCTCATAATTAATTAATAGATTAAACTTTTGGATATATGACCTAATACCATGACATAACGGTCTAACCCAGGTACCAGACACACTTACATAATTTTACAACATACCAATGAAACTCTCAAATGATTAATTAAATCGTAGGCTGAAGATCATGAAGTTGGCATGGCAGTGGCAGTGTCCGATTTCGTCATGATTGAAATTTATATTTGATATTTCAAAGGTATTATGATCTCCTTCATTACTGGTATAGTTCATAAGTTGTATGAACAATAACACCTGCACAGTACTTAACAGAAATAGAGATATGATCGGTTGAAAGTCATCTCTTATTATCTCATAAATCGTGAGGTGTTTCCAAATGTAACATTATCATCCTTTCAATTTGGTGAACCACATAATGATCATTGATCAATGATCAGTAGCTGCTTCCTGTCTTAGTATCGATACAACAGTTTTCATAATATTACAGTGAGAGAATCGTTATTCTTGTTCATTACTCTTTCAGGTGGCGAGTGAGGGCATCTTCAACGCTAAAGTAGGGAAAATTTACGATCGTGCCGAGGCCGTAACGTCATAATACTTTAAAATTTCGAGATAGTGCATTTAAAATAAATACTTGTTTAACCGCATACTCGCATAGTTCGATTAAATTAAGCTATTTTAAGGTTGATGAACAGGCCTATACTTTTACAGTCCTTACATGGACATCTCTTGAGATATAACAGGCCAAATCTACGCACTATTGTAGTTAAATGACTTTACTGAGTTGGTTGTAAATTAGTGAATATCATTGCCCACAATAGGGAACAATTCGCATGACCAACCGTTGTCAAACTATTTGGTTCGTAAAATTTAATTAATACAACTGATCGTGTTATTTAAACTTAATATCTAATGATTTCGCATAGAATTTTATGCTGGCATGGAAATTCGAAAATCAAAAACATCACCCCAAAAACTCGCAGAAAAAAAGCAACAAAACTCACTTCTACACAGACCAGGATGATCCGAAAGTTCTTGTAGCTGGCAGAAGTGACATAGGTCGCCATACAGGGTAGGAAATTAAAAGGGCGCCCGGCCGGCACCAGCAACCACAGTATTATATATTTACAAGAGGCGTAACTTACAAGACTAATTATTGGTACATTTCCTGGACTTATTGTCAGATTTATAATATTATATTGTTACGGAAAAATGGAAAATAATGGATATTATTACGGTATTCACAAGAGGTAACTGGGAAACAAGATTCGATGTTGATCTAAACTGAATAGATCACCGATTAAATGGATTTCTGTTCACTATAATGATAGTACACCCGATTAGTCGTTCAATTAACCTTCAAAACATGTTAATTGATAGCGCAAGCTGCGTCCGGATGTAATGAAAAATTATGCAAAGTATGGTCAGAATATTATTCTCTAATTGAAAAGTTAATTGTGTGTTCCGCTCTTCTTCCAGTCTACACCAGTTTCAAACTTAGATCAGATTTAATGCAATTTAGTTAGATATTACCAACCAGTCTGACACAAAGTTAGATATCACGAAACAATTATTAAAGCAGCAATGGTTCATTATAGTGTATTATATTAGTGTAATATACTAATAGTGTATTGCTGATAATCGCTGATTTAATTTTAAACGGCAGATTGACCTAACCAATAATATGATCTTTAGTGAACTGAAAAAGTAAGAACTAAGTATAGAAGCAAGCAGTTTTATTAGTCTGGTGGATATCACTAACAAGTGTACTAGGATTCTGAGGAAAATAAAACCACACATAAGAAGAGTAACAAATTTTAATACGGACATTATAATGAAAGCAGATGCAACGCCATGGCCTAATTATGGCTTAAATCGTCAAATAAGCAAATAACGGAAATTATACTTGTGATTCACTGACGTCAGTCGGCTGATACCCTCAGAACAACTTACTAAAATGTTTGATCGTAGGTAAATATCAGCTGTAAGGTGGAAGTTTCGCCCAGTTTTAAAAACTTCCAGCCTAATTAGCCAGTAATTATGTAATTATGTAATCGCCTCCGCTCAGTTGGTGATTAGTGTGGTGGGCGATACTTCAGCACGCGGTTCATCATTAGTATTAGAGATGGGAAATTTCGTGGTCAGCGCTCATCACAGGTCAGACACAATTGATTTTGAAACTCTAATTGGTTACAGAGGATTGCATTTGCTTAATTGATGACGCCCATATCTCATTTCCATGTAAATTCCGATGTTTATTGTTTATTGTGCAATTTAAGAGCTGTAACACGTGTTGTTTGATAAAAGCAGGCACAAGCACAGAACAATTAAACAATTTTTTCAAGAACTATTATCGACAATCGTGATAGTTATTAGTAAAACGTTGAGTTAAATTGGCGCCAAAACCATGAAATTAAAACCGTTGAGTAAAGGTCAGTTTAGAATATTACACATGTACACCTTACCATTTAAGGTATAATGGTTCCAGCATGTACCCCATTAATATCAGTTTACTATCCGCTTTTATACTGTTTAATTTAGAAAATTTAGAGGGATATTATTAAAAATGTATTGCGCTAAGGGGGGGGGGGGGGGGGGGGGGGGGGGGGGGGGGGGGAGGGGGCAATTTAAACCACTGACCGTGTTTATGTTTTCCTTGTTCATATTGTTGTTGAGCGGCTTGCCGTTATCTAGCTGGTCTGGTAAAATAAAGTAAGGAGCAGCCGTGTGGTTGTTGTTTATGTTAGCACTCTCCACTTGTATGAGGCCCCCTGGAGTTGGGGTGGCAGGAGCGGGTTTCTTATCTACTGTACTGTAGATAACCTCGCTTGTGCTGAATATCTGGGGAAGGGAGCTGATAAGTTGGATTGCAGAGATGGAGATAAGAATATTAAGTAGAAAATAAGCTGGAATGAAATAAAATTATAGGAAAACCAAAATTTCTTGATGCAGCAAATAAATAAGGCGAGTACTGAGTATGATGGCACTAACAATAACAAATAACAAATACCTGCTGATGATGAGTAATCATGCAACTCATTGCTTTAGTAATAGAGGGCTGCCTCTGCAAAGCTTCCAGATCACTCTTTATCCGGAAGAGATTCGGACCAAACACTATAGCAAGAGAAGAGTCGGTCATCTTGGTGACGGCCACGTTCTGTCCCACATCGTTGAGAAAAGAACAGAGATACTTGAGGAGGTTAAGGTTGACGGGTGGGAGAGTTTTACAGTAAGTCCTGATCTTGTCTACCAGGTGTGATGTGGATAGTGTCCTGTCTTCTGCTGCAACTAGGATCTCCTGAGATACCTAGACATTTAGTTGTTAGTTTTGTTATATTTCAACATATTGCCTGCTCAGTGCTAGTTCAAGATCATCTGCAAATATTTCTGCTGCAGTTTGTTAAAATAACCATTAATTCTACAGAATTTCCCGGATGGGGCATGCAGTTACCTGATCAGGAATAAGAGGATCGGGAAGTTCTCTAAAGAACATCTTGAAGATAGATGTCACCACACTGACATCATGTACAGAAGTGAGGTTGGCAGTGCCGTTCTGGTCATACTCCAATCTTAACCCATCAATAACTCGTCGGTTACCACTAACTCTAAACAGTCCTTCTTCTGGAAAATGTGACAGGGTTAATTTTATGATAATTGTTTGCAGATCAACAAGATAGTTGGTTCATAATGCTGAATAAATTTAAGATCACATATTTTATTACTCAAATGAAACGACAATCCCGTCACTCATACGTCATTATCACGCAACTTAAGGGGACAGGGGGGTCTTCATGGAAATTTTCTCAAAATCGACTTATTAGTTGTTTCTAATAGAGGGAAGTAATATCTATCAGATGCTTTTCATCCCGTGGAAAATCGTTCCTAGTCGAGATTATTGCCAGTCAAAGGTCAGCGCGTGTGTGTAATTGTATTGCGCGAGCGATTTTTTTATCGTGGACCTCGAAAAATCATCAAAAAACAAGGTCTAAGATTTTCAAAATCGAATAAAACATTTTTAAAGGCCTATCTCAAAATTCTGTCTGGCTCATCTCTTTTAAATGATCCCTAAAACATATCCTGAAAGTTTCAGGGTGATTGCTCAAAAAATGTAGGAGAAGATAGATTTTTAAACTCGATTTTCAGGGCATCTGATAGATATTACTCCCCTCTATCAGAGACAACCAAAAAGTCGATTTTGAGAAAATTTCCATGAAAAATTTCCTGCGGCCTGCCCCCTTAAATCACTAGAAGATGTGACATAACGATCATGACGTGTTAAACGACAATAGTTAAACCTTTAAAGCCATGACGACGGATGAAGGCGACAAGTTGATAGACGATGTTGGGGACGTTAGCACTGTTGTCACATTTCTCCGTTAGCTCTGAGAGTGGTACACCGAATATCCGACCTTTCGTCGGCAACTGAAAGGCATACTGTGAACATTGTAGTCTAGGGAAACATATAATATATAATAATGTGATCTTTAAAAAATAATCGTAAAACTCTGAGGTACAAATATTCTTGGCATACTTTTGGTGCTGACTGCTGATTTGACTAACCTGCTTTTTTCGTACATTAGGACTGAGACCAACCCGTCTAACTAAATCCATCAGACATTGTATTTACCTCATCTTGCTAACGGGATAAAGTATTATTATCTTTAAACTTTAAATAAATAACATTACAAAGTAGTATTGGCACGATGACGAACTGTTGCTATCGGGATAGAATATTACTATCTTCAAACTTTGAATAACTAACGTATCGGAACGAACTTTTAATGAATTAATAGTCAATATCCACTGCCACATTGTATCATATCAAGAATCACGTACATTTTTCTTGAACAAGAATCACGTATATTTTTCTTGTAAATACAATAAGGCTATTCGGTAGAAATATTTCAGTCAAGAAAATAAAGAAAAACAATAAGTAAAGAAATGTGTCAAAATGTCAAATAAAAATAGAAAATTACAAAATTAAAAAACCCAAAATACAATGCATCTCCAGTCTCCACTTAAACGTGAAATTTATAATTTCTTTAAATTACGTAGCATAAAAAGTACAAGGAGCGACGTCAGACATAGCTGTTGCCAGCCAATACACTGTAATTACAAAATTACTGTGATTTTCTGTACAGCAACATCGACAAAATACAATAGGCATGATAAAACATACGCATATCTAAGCTGTGTCCTCACTAAAACTTTCCAGCGCAAGACCGACGTAATCTCAAAAGCTAAAATATTCTGGCGAGGTAAATAAATATAGTTGCTGGCTAGTTCAGTCGGACGAGAGGAAGTAAACCCATAAAAGGGTACAAATAAGCTAAGTTTCAGTGCAGTGCACACAATGACCAATGCGTTAACTTAAATCATATATTTCACCAAATAAGTAGATAAAGATTACGGTACGAAAGCTAAAATTGAATCCTGAAGATTATTTAAATTCGAAAACTGTAGCCTTGTTAACTCATTAATTAATAATCTATCCAAATGTCGTAATGCAGTAATTTGTCTAAGATGTCTATAAAGATTAAAATAAAATGAAGCGATTCAACTGAGCGTTTCTCCGTTACCAATGGTCCATTGCTCATAGTCCCAATCAGGAAATAGGATCTTAGATTCTTTTACAAAGCTTTCAAGAGAGTCAGATCCGTGACCAGCATTGCGAGTGTCTGACAAACCATACAGTGCCCTGATACTAAAATAAATAAATAAATTAGGCATCCAATATATTGAGCCCTGCATCCATATCCCTTTTAAATCTACATTATAGCAGCTTTTTAAATTTACCATCACAGGAATTTAATTTGTGTACCCCTGGCCTTAACTATATAGTTAAGTGATCTTTGACCCCAATGAAAGTCCCACATTTACATATCACAAGCAAGTCGAAATTTTCATCTGAAACAAAATTGTGGACAGTATATCACGAAGAAAATACTTTACATAGAAAGGTATGGGCGCTCTATTATAGTAGACTACAAAATTGATGAATTAGTAATGTACCTGTCTGGGTTCTTCTGTCTAGTCTTGTAACATTTAGTAAAACCAAGTAAATTCCTCCACTTAGTCACAGCATCTTCTGTTTTATGAGCCAGTACCAATGCATGAAACTCCCCTGACGACATAAACTCAACCAACCTCTGTTGGAAAAATTTACCTCTGTGTTCCTCATAGAACTTATCAGCCTGCAAAAGAACTTTAATAATAATATAATATCTTTGGTGAATGCATTTTGAAAAAATCTTATTACAGGAAAGCATTATTCAATGTGAAAGACAATTTTGTGTTTTCGATATGAAACCAAACAGAACTCTAATTTAATATATAATAGGGTCAAACATAACATTATTTTGAATCTTATTATCACCAAAGCTAAGCAAGGTTTTCAAAGTTAATACAACAAATTCAGTAAAACATACCTGAATTCGATTCCACGAGGTTACAGTTTCTTTGGCAACAACAAAGCCCTCCTTATGAATGAGTTTTAAAATTCTCTGATGATGAATAGGATGAGCATAAACATCAGGTTTTAAAATTGCAAGAGTCATAGTGAGTCGCTGCATACTTTACTGTTATGTCATTCACTATGATTCTGAATTATAAAATGTTAAAATCTAATCAACAGGTCTCTAAAATCGTCAAAAATAGTGGTCCAAGATTTTGAAATCAGATAAAAACTTTTTAAAGGTTTATCTCAAAATTCTGTCCGGAAAATCTCTTCTAAATGATCCCTAGAACTTTTATTATATCCTGTAAGTTTCAGGGTGATTATTGGAAAATGTAGGATGAGATAGATTTTGTAGACTCAATTTAAAGTATGCGAGATTGAAAATTGCTCGCACAGTACAATTACTAAGAAGGCGATTTCGAGAAAATGAAGACTCCCTGCCCAGTAGTGTAACAAAGGCCCCACAGACCCCACTGTGCAAAATTTAATGAGGGGGGCCACTGCATAGACCCAATAAAGTCTGCATCTCACCCCAGTCTGTATCTCACTACCAGGGATTGATGACACATGAAACTGTCCACTTAACAAATGAAAAGAGTTGCATAATCGAGGTAATAAAGAGTTGTATAATCGAGGTAATTATAATATAACCATAATAAATGGTGTTTCAAAAATGATGTTTATAATATGATGTAGAATTATAGCTATTTCCGTACAGCCGTTTGAAGGACTATGAACATGCTAGCTCTTTTTATTTTGTTAGTCGGGCGGCATCTTGGGTTGTACTGGACCTAACAAGTTTATTATCGGATGTCTACTTATATTTAGTATGATATCATTATTTATATTCATTGTAATGGCAATAAAATTTAAATTTTGTTTTCCTTAAATTTTGTTTTCCTTAATAAAACTAAAGTTGATAAAACAAAAGTTAAATTTATTACCAATTATTCATTATTTTTTTAATGACGAAGGCTGTGAAATGTTCACAGTTGTGATAATGAGGAAATCAGAAAGAATGTTTAAAACTAGTGATGATGTTTATGTCATTATTCTTAATCTAATCTAATCTAATTTAATCAATCAATACATATTTTATATTAATACTTTCAACACTACTATATAACAAATAATTTGAGCATGAATGCGAAGTTGTTACTTTGAAACGGCGTTTATCCTAACAGTGCAGTATCATTTGTTGCAAAAAATCAGAATAATCAGAAATTATTTGGAACTCCCAAAAACTGTCATAAATTCTAATATTGGAAAGACTGCGCAGTGCGCAGAATGGATGTCTTAAACTATAATCTTGTTGTCACTAATATCTATTGACTTTCAAAGTTTTATTTTAGTTAAGTATGAAATGCCACCACATCATAGGACGAATAGACTAATTTTTTGAATATACATGTATACCTCTATGATCTATTATATTTTAAACTTGACGAAATCTTCAAAGCAGAGGCACGAAACCACAAAAATTGACAAGATGTGACCTTTCACAAGGAAACCCATCTCACTAGAGATTCAAGCAAAGCTAATAGAAAAGCGTGATGGTAATGGTTAAGCCTCCTTTGAATGTAGCAATTCAAAATGAAGTTAAGTCGATTGAAGGTGTAATTGAAACAGAAATGAAAAGTTGCTCGTCTGCTCTAATATAACGAAAACCTGTGACGCTGCCTAAGCACCTTAAAAGATCTGTGCAAGAGCTGTAAAAACTGTTTCTAACAAAACAGATCTAAGCTATAGAACGCTGTAATTTATAAACTAGTATGTATAAAGATCGGAGACTGTTACCGGCTTTTAAAAATCGGACACACAATGACCTCCGAGAAGGACTTCGCCACTTCTTCGACGCACCGCACAAACTATCATCCATGTTTTATTTCGCCATTATATTCGCATCAAAGATCGTAAATCCAGAATCCAAGATCGCTGCTCTACATTTTTCCATTTGCAGAGCAACAATCTCAATGGGCATATGGCCAAGCTAGCTATGGGTTTATATTTCACATAGCCATGTGTATACGCGTACTAATACTACGAAGTAACGCGCGCCGGGCTAGCTTCCATATAGCTATTAACAATGGACAATTTAATCAATAATGCTCATAAGCATAAAGTTGATTAACGATGTCCATCCTAAGTTGTAGGTTTATAACCTAATAGGACGCGCGCCGAGTTGGAACAAATATTGTACGAGTACAGTTTAATTGACGGTGTCAATTCATGGCAGTTCGGCGCGGCACAGTAGCGCATCTCGCCGATATAGCCAGAAGAAGCCTTATTGAGTAAGAAGCCTTATTGAGTGCGCGGCGCGGCACAGTAACGCATCGCGCTACAAGAGTACAGTATCACTCATTAAATCCTATGTAGCTTGGCGTGGATCAATGGTGCACCTTGCCGGCCGATCGTCGCGTGATCATATCTAACGAGAAGTATAATCAATTATTTGATACACCGCGCGGCCCAGTAGTTACCTGGCACGTGCTGCTCATGCTTGCTTTATCCAGCTAGCCCTTGCGGTTGGGAGTCAGGCAGTGCATGGCGGCGCGCGCAAGTACGTGGATAGGTGAACTTGTAGGTTTATAAACCTACAAGTTCACCTATCCATGTGCTTGCGCGCAAGGCTAATATTAAATACTAGTGGACTCTATGCAGGTCTCCCAGCGCCCCTAATTTTACTGATCTGGAGGTCACATTTTATTGAGCCAGTACAGGCTAATATTAAATACTAGTGGACTCTATGCAGGTCTCCCAGCGCCCCTAATTTTACTGATCTGGAGGTCACATTTTATTGAGCCAGTACAGGCTAATATTAAATACTAGTGGACTCTATGCAGCTCTCCCAGAGCCCCTTATTTTACTGATCTGGAGGTCACATTTTATTGAGCCAGTACAGGCTAATATTAAATACTAGTGGACTCTATGCAGGTCTCCCAGCGCCCCTAATTTTACTGATCTGGAGGTCACATTTTATTGAGCCAGTACAGGCTAATATTAAATACTAGTGGACTCTATGCAGGTCTCCCAGCGCCCCTAATTTTACTGATCTGGAGGTCACATTTTATTGAGCCAGTACAGGCTAATATTAAATACTAGTGGACTCTATGCAGGTCTCCCAGCGCCCCTTATTTTACTGATCTGGAGGTCACATTTTATTGAGCCAGTACAGGCTAATATTAAATACTAGTGGACTCTATGCAGGTCTCCCAGCGCCCCTAATTTTACTGATCTGGAGGTCACATTTTATTGAGCCAGTACAGGCTAATATTAAATAATAGTGGACTCTATGCAGGTCTCCCAGCGCCCCTAATTTTACTGATCTGGAGGTCACATTTTATTGAGCCAGTACAGGCTAATATTAAATACTAGTGGACTCTATGCAGGTCTCCCAGCGCCCCTAATTTTACTGATCTGGAGGTCACATTTTATTGAGCCAGTACAGGCTAATATTAAATACTAGTGGACTCTATGCAGGTCTCCCAGCGCCCCTAATTTTACTGATCTGGAGGTCACATTTTATTGAGCCAGTACAGGCTAATATTAAATACTAGTGGACTCTATGCAGGTCTCCCAGCGCCCCTTATTTTACTGATCTGGAGGTCACATTTTATTGAGCCTATGCAGTATATGCAATTCTGTTTTAGACATTGAATTTATTTAAAAAAGGTCACACCCTCTAAAAAACTCCAATTGGAAATGTTTCTATTAATTTCACATTGGAAAACTTTTCATTGTGTTTGACCTCAACTTAGATGTATTTGTTTTTTTTTGCTATTTTTAGCAACTCCAATTCTCTTTTGTAGAGCTGATTCTTGTTATATAATATAGAAGTACACTCGATACAGTTATCTTATATAAGAAAATATATTGGACTGCCAAACTACTGGTATATCATTCTATTGGGAAGAAAAATAATACAAGTTAGTATTCTTCTAAAAATAACTGTTCATAACATTTACTTCATTTGTAAAGGTATGTGTGTGAAACATCAGAACTGAATAATGGACCAGAGAATTCAGAGATCTTTGGTTACCTGTTTCCGGTTTCGTCGGTTCACATTGCTGCGTTCCTGACCTAGCTTCGCCTGCATCATTAGATCATATTATAATATGCATTATAGACTATAGTTATACAGCTTGAATTTGAAAGAGCTACATGGTCGTTGTTTCGAGTGCTTTTTCATCTGCTGTGACAGACAGCATCAACGGTTACCAACATAATAGGTGCATTGCAAGTTGTGCAATGCTGAATGCATACGTTTCGTCAGTGACTTCCTTCTGCCTCATTGATGCGAAACTGATAATAAACATGCAAGAGAATACAGCTATAGTTACTCTGGACTGCCATGATAGAAACATTGAAACAGATATTGACTGGCTTTAGGTATGTAAGACGTAAGTATTGAAACCCCAATTTGTTATGATCAGGTTCAACATACTTGCTATGATCCTTTATATAATAATATTAATATATTACATAAAATATAATATATTACATTGTATATTAATCTTGATATAAAATCCTCGCTTTTTGATGATTGTAACATGTTCTGTTTCGTTGTAACCTTGTCCCCTACATATTTATATAATACATCATTACTTCCATTTTTCAGGTTTTTATTGGTGTTGCAAACGATGAAACGATCACTAAATTCTGTGCCTATGTGAGATTTGTTGGTTCATCGAATAACATCAAACTTACAGTGTGAGTAATTCAACAATCATGCACTTCATATTTTATGTCCCCCTACTCATTGTTCACTCTCTGTCTTCATCAGTGTTACTCTACATTTCTCTCAGCAGTTATTCTTCCACTCAGTATTAACTCTCTGTCTTCGTCAGTGTTACTCTTTATTTCCCTCAGTAGCTACCCTCCCACTCAGTATTAACTCTCTGTCTTCATCAGTGTAACTCTACATTTCTCTCAGTAGTTACTCTTCCACTCAGTTTTAACTCTCTGTCGTCATCAGTGTTACTCTACATTTCTCTCAACTTAGTTATTCTCCCACTCAGTATTAACTCTCTGTCTTTGTCAGTGTTACTCTATATTTACCTCAGTAGTTACTCTCACACTGAGAGTTAACTCTCTGTCTTCGTCAGTGTTACTCTATATTTTGCTCAGTAGTTATTCTCCCACTCAGTATTAACTCTCTGTCTTCGTCAGTATTACTCTACATTTCCCTCAGTAGTTATTCTCCCACTCAGTATTAACTCTCTGTCTTCGTCAGTGTTACTCTACATTTCGCTCAGTAGTTATTCTCCCAGTTCCCACTTAGTATCAACTCTCTGTCTTCATCAGTGTTACTCTACATTTCTCTCAGTAGTTATTCTCCCACTAAGTGTTAAATCTCTGTCTTCATCAGTGTTACTCTAGACATTTCCCTCAGTAGTTATTCTCCCACTCAGTATTAACTCTCTGTCTTCATCAGTGTTACTCTACATTTCTCTCAGCAGTTATTCTTTCACTCAGTAGCAACTCTCTGTCTTCGTCAGTGTTACTCTATATTTAGCTCAGTAGTTATTCTCCCACTCAGTATTAACTCTCTGTCTTCATCAGTGTTACTCTACTCTCTAGACATTTCCTTCAGAAGTTATTCTCCCACTCAGTATTAACTCTCTGTCTTCGTCAGTGTTACTCTACATTTCGCTCAGTAGTTATTCTTCCGCTCAGTATCAACTCTCTGTCTTCATCAGTGTTATTCTACATTTCCCTCAGTAGTTATTCTCCCACTCAGTGTTAAATCTCTGTCTTCATCAGTGTTACTCTAGACATTTCCCTCAGTAATTATTCTCCCACTCAGTATCAACTCTCTGTCTTCATCAGTGTTATTCTACATTTCCTTCAGTAGTTATTCTCCCACTCAGTGTTAAATCTCTGTCTTCATCAGTGTTACTCTAGACATTTCCCTCAGTAATTATTCTCCCACTCAGTATCAACTCTCTGTCTTCATCAGTGTAACTCTACATTTCTCTCAGTAGTTATTCTCCCACTCAGTATTAACTCTCTGTCTTCATCAGTGTTACTCTACATTTCTCTCAGCAGTTATTCTTCCACTCAGTATTAACTCTCTGTCTTCGTCAGTGTTACTCTATATTTAGCTCAGTAGTTATTCTCCCACTCAGTATTAACTCTCTGTCTTCATCTTCTTCTTCGTAGAGGGCAGTGGTCTTTACTACTAAGGAATAGATCAAAACCACTATAAGATGGAGCATTGAAGCCCTGTGCTTACCCCGGTACAGTTAATCTGTGAAGAAAGCAAGGTTAAGCCTTGTCCTCTCCACATTTGGTAAAACGTTTTGTTGCTTGTATGAAGCCGATGATCCTTGGTAATGAGAACTTGTCCACTATATCTGTCACACTGAGGTAGAAGGAGTCAAAGTATCCTCCTTGCTGGTAAGACCATTTCGGGCACTGACCAATAAAGTGGTTCATTGTCTCCTCTTTCATGAGACAGTGTGGACAGGTTTTAGGGACCGTTGTACTTATTGATATGGTAGTTTAGTTCACAATGTCCCGTGAGGAATTGTGTTGCTGTTCTTGTGCTCTCTTTGCCAAGTTTCGGGATTGATCTGGCGAACTTTTGTCTCCATAATCGTTTAAAGTGAGTGTGGGGTAAAGTTCTCCATCTTTCCCTCATCTTCCGATGACTTATACTCCGCAGTGCTCCCTTCCATAATACTTTTGGTATTGGTAGTTGCACTTGAGCGGAGTCCAGATTGTCGGAGCCTTTTTGGCAAGAGAGTCTGCCTTTTCGTTGCCATCGTAGCCTTTGTGAGCTGGTATCCATCGTAGTAGGACTTGATTGTCCATTGCTAGTTGGTTGAGCTCACTTATAGCCGTGCTGGTGCTTTTAGATTTGACTTTGATGTTGCTCATTGCCATTATTGTCGACTGGCTATCGCAGTTTATGTTTATTTTTCTAGTTTTGGTCCCAGATTCCCGTAATATTTTTGCCGCAGTGCCTACGGCAAAGGTTTCGGCCTGGAAGACGGTTGAGTTGATTCCTAGGTGGTATGACTCCTCACATGTGGGGTGTCGTTGTCCACAATGTACACTCCTGCTCCAACTTTTTCATTCATTTTGGAGCCGTCTGTGTAACATTGTATAGTATTGGTGTCATTCTCGATTACCTCATACTCAGAGAGTCGGGGAATTTCTGTGTTGAAACCAATGTCAACATTCAGTGATGTTGTCTGTTGATCTTGTCCTTCAGAGTTGAGACTGATAGCCTTTAGTAACTGTTCATTAAGTTTTGTGTGGGTGGTTAGGTTGCCCTTCTTGTTTACCATCGGCTCATATATCCACTGGTTGTTGGATTTGAGTCTGAGAGCTCTGCTGCTTCCTCTTCCATCACCAGATCAATAGGGATGATTCCGGTGATGATGTCTATACTAGTGCTGCTCCAGGAGTCGATGGTAACCCTCCTGTTATGAGGATGTTCCCCAGCCGCTGTACACTGCTAAGGATTGTTAGGTTATGTTTTTTGGACACACCATTGAGCCAGATTGTCGCAGCGTATGTCAGAGAAGGTCTGACAACGGCTGTATAATATATATACTCTGTCTTCATCAGTGTTACTCTAGACATTTCCTTCAGAAGTTATTCTCCCACTCAGTATTAACTCTCTGTCTTCGTCAGTGTTACTCTACATTTCGCTCAGTAGTTATTCTTCCGCTCAGTATCAACTCTCTGTCTTCATCAGTGTTATTCTACATTTCCCTCAGTAGGTATTCTCCCACTCAGTGTTAAATCTCTGTCTTCATCAATGTTACTCTAGACATTTCCCTCAGTAATTATTCTCCCACTCAGTATCAACTCTCTGTCTTCATCAGTGTAACTCTACATTTCTCTCAGTAGTTATTCTCCCACTCAGTATTAACTCTCTGTCTTCATCAGTGTTACTCTACATTTCTCTCAGCAGTTATTGTTCCACTCAGTATTAACTCTCTGACAAGTGACAAGTAGTAACGCTCTAGTTCTCTTCAAAACAGTAGACCAAGGGTTTCCTTCTCCTGAGAACAGTAAGTACTCTCTGTCTTCGTCAGTGTTACTCTATATTTAGCTCAGTAGTTATTCTCCTTACTATATTATATGTGCAAGGCAAATTTCTGGAGAATCGAGTATTTTTTTTGTAGTAATAATTTGAATTATAAAGCGACAAAATATTATGTGTTCTCTCTTGGTTTGATTTTTTGAATAACAGCCAGTAATTTTAGAAGGTAAACGGTCAAGCAAAGTGTGCAAGGTCGTTGATGGAGTATTCCATGTGAAATCCTCTCACCAGTCTGAGCCCCACCAACTGAACATCAGAGGACCAACTTGCACCTGCAGAAACTTCAGCAGGACTCACATCCCCTGCAGACATATTTTTCAAGCTATCGATGATGGTTTAATGAAATGGGAGGACCTACCTGAAGATTACAGAAACATACCGTTCTTCGTAAAAGATAAAGGTCTGTTAAATTGATCTGTATGCATGTTTACATTCCAATTTGAATAGACAAGACAAAATTGAGGTTCATAACTCGTTCATGTGCTATGGCCGTGCGTCCGCGTCGATGTAGGAGGTGTGGAGCCTGCTTGTAGAGAAAATATGAAGTTTCCTACAGTAAATATTATTATCAATATCAAAGGCAGGGCATTACTTCGACCTCCGAGGCGAGGTATCCGTGTGGACTCTGGTTGTTATCAGGGTTGGAAAGACAAAGATAATTTTGTCTGTTAAAGTGGGTTATCACTCTCTGCCATCAGAGTCATAAATCACATCTCCGCAGGGTTTGCAAGGTTTTCCCTATTGCTTTGCTTCCAATTCTTATAATAGTCAAAATATAAAATCCGATATTATTTTTGCAGGAAGTGATATTGGGATATGGCCAGCTGATGCAGATGTAAACAAATGCTGCGATTATCCAGCATCAGAAGACGAGGATGAAGAAGTAGAAGATGATGAGGTTGGAGGAAATGGGGATAAAAGAAAGAAGAAACGGGACATAGACTATATAAAGGAGATTGGCGGGAGCTTTCAAACAGAATAACTTCCTTCGTTAATGATCCCGAGTTTGACGTGATGGACGATGATGTCCGTGCATTATTATATAAGAAACTGTCAGATACCGCCAATGATGTGGCATCCTATATTTACAAAAGAAACTAATATAGATAACATAGATAAGATTATGTTTGATAATATATTACTTTAAAAGCCGTGCAATCATTTTAGATATTAGATATTAAACTAACCATATTATGATATTCTCCGTCTAACTATTCGATCTGTCACCATCTCACTATTCAATCTGTCTCAACGTTCATTCTCTGTTTAACTATTCAATCTCTGTCTCAGTGTTCATTTTCTTGTTTAACTATTCAATCTTTGTCTCAGCGTTCATTCTCTGTCTCGACATTCATTTTCCGTCTGACTATTCAATCTGTCTCGACGTTCATTCTGCGTCTCACTATTCAATCTGTCTCAATGTTCATTCTCTGTCTCGACGTTCATTCTCCGTCTCAATATTCAATCTGTCTCAACGTTCATTATGTGTTTAACTATTCAATCTCTTTCTCAGTGATCATTCTCTGTTTAACTATTAAATCACTGTTCATTCCTGTCTCGACGTTAATTCTCCGTCTCATTATTCAATCTCTGCATCAGTGTTCATTCTCTATTTTAGAGTTAATTCCCTGTCTTACCTTTCAATCTTTCTCGGTGTTCATTCTCTGTCTGACTGTTCAATTTCTGTCTCACTGTCCATTCTCTGTCTCGCTGTTCAATCTTCGTGTTTCTTTCAAAGTGTTACAGTGACAAGGAGACCGAATGATATTGTTGTAAAATAAAAAGCTTGTCCGCTTTAGTTATAGTGATATTAAAACATATACAACACCATGTATTATGAAATTTTAGATTTTGTTACAAAATATGGAAAGTGAATTTGATGTTGTTGTCTAATGAGGCGATGTTTTCGCTGAATTTGTATCGTATTTGTATCATGCCCCCATTTCTTGCCCCCACGTTGTATCGTCTGCCCCCATCATGATCTGACCGTGCCAATCTAATTAAGTTTCCTTGGTGATACGATTTCTTGCTCGGTCGGATATACGTAATCGAATTATGCATACCAATGACTGTAGTCCACAGGTCCACAGGTTAGTGCAAACAACAATACGAACCGTGAAATAAACCATCTAGAAACCATTTATTCTGTTATAATGTAATACTGTTAGTGGAATAGTAGAAAGGACGATAAGAACCGCAAGACAAACCATCAAGAAACCATAAGCTAACTTGACTTACTTGACTTAAGGCGGGTGGTATTCCCGAGATCCATTGACAACAGTTCTCCACAGCTTTCTGTCCTCCATCAGTCTAGCTATCTCATCTACTGACTTCAGCCCAGTATCTGCTTTTAGGTTATCTAGTAGTGTTAAATGAGGTCGCCCCCTGTTAGTATGCCCATGACTCGGCTTCCAGAGGATCAGTTTGTTCAGTGTCAGCTCCGGATGTCGGTGAGCATGACCTGCAAGTCTGAGCCTTCGTTGGGTTATCTTGGAGCTGACTTTGGGAAGATCACCGTACAGGCTGTGGTTGCTGACATGGTCTCGATATTGGTTGATGTTAAGGGCCATTCTTAACATTCGCGTATAGCAACCATCAACCATCTTCTCTAGCCTTTTCGTCATTGTCCAAGTCTCGGAACCGTACAGTAGCACCGACTCCACTAGTGCTGTAAACACTCTGATCTTGATAGACTTTCTAAGCTTAGAATTCCAAAGCTTTTTGAGTGTGTGGCATGCTCCCCATGCTCTTCCTTTCCTAACCCTGATATCACTCTCACTGTCTCTGATTCTAGAACCCAGATAAGTGAAGTCTTCCACATGCTCTATTGTACTGTTACCCAGGGACTTGATGGTATCAGGGTTCTCGATGTTCTGAGTAATGAATTTGGTTTTCCCATAAGCTAAGATGTAATGTAAGGTGGCTTTCAGTAGTTTTATCAGTGCAAGTATTCTGTAATACTGTTAGAAATTACTAGAGTAGTGTGAACAACAATATAAACTATCAAATAAACCATTTGGAAACCATTTTAGGGTTTTTTTGATCGAATGTATCGTAATTAATATTTCTGCCCCCATTTACTAAGATGTAATTTAAGGTGGTTTTCAGTGGTTTTATCAGTGCAAGTATTCTGTAATACTGTTAGTAGTTACTGGAGTAGTGTGAACAACAATATAAACTATCAAATAAACCATTTGGAAACCATTTTAGGGTTTTTTTGATCGAATGTATCGTAATTAATATTTCTGCCCCCATTTACTAAGATGTAATGTAAGGTGGTTTTCAGTAGTTTTATCAGTGCAAGTATTCTGTAATACTGTTAGTAGTTACTGGAGTAGTGTGAACAACAATATAAACTATCGAATAAACCATTTGGAAACCATTTTAGGGTTTTTTTGATCGAATGTATCGTAATTAATATTTCTGCCCCATTTACTAAGATGTAATATAAGGTGGTTTTCAGTAGTTTTATCAGTGCAAGTATTCTGTAATACTGTTAGTAGTTACTGGAGTAGTGTGAACAACAATATAAACTATCAAATAAACCATTCGGAAACCATTTTAGGGTTTTTTTGATCGAATGTATCGTAAATAATATTTCTGCCAATTTACTAAGATGTAATATAAGGTGGTTTTCAGTAGTTTTATCAGTGCAAGTATTCTGTAATATTACTGTTAGTAGTTACTGAACTAGTGTGAACAACAATATAAACTATAAAATGAACCATTTGGAAACCATTTTAGAGTTTTTTTGATCGAATGTATCGTAATTAATATTTCTGCCCCCATTTACTAAGATGTAATGTAAGGTGGTTTTCAGTAGTTTTATCAGTGCAAGTATTCTGTAATACTGTTAGAAATTACTAGAGTAGTGTGAACAACATTATAAACTATCAAATAAACCATTCAGAAACCATTTTAGGGGTTTTTTGATCGAATGTATCGTAATTAATATTTCCGCCCCCATTTACTAAGATGTAATGTAAGGTGGTTTTCAGTGGTTTTATCAGTGCAAGTTTTCTGTAATACTGTTAGTAGTTACTGGAGTAGTGTGAACAACAGTATAAACTATCAAATAAACCATTTGGAAACCATTTTAGAGTTTTTTTGATCGAATGTATCGTAGTTAATATTTCTGCCCCCATTTACTAAGATGTAATGTAAGGTGGTTTTCAGTAGTTGTATCAGTGCAAGTATTCTGTAATACTGTTAGTAGTTACTGGAGTAGTGTGAACAACAATATAAATTATCAAATAAACCATTTGGAAACCATTTTAGAGTTTTTTTGATCGAATGTATCGTAATTAATATTTCTGCCCCCATTTACTAAGATGTAATGTAAGGTGGTTTTCAGTAGTTTTATCAGTGCAAGTATTCTGTAATACTGTTAGAAATTACTAGAGTAGTGTGAACAACAATATAAACTATCAAATAAACCATTCAGAAACCATTTTAGGGGTTTTTTGATCGAATGTATCGTAATTAATATTTCTGCCCCCATTTACTAAGATGTAATGTAAGGTGGTTTTCAGTGGTTTTATCAGTGCAAGTATTCTGTAATACTGTTAGTAGTTACTGGAGTAGTGTGAACAACAATATAAACTATCAAATAAACCATTTGGGGGCAACGATACAACTCAGTGAAAACATCCTCTTGTGTCTAATAATACAAAGATACAAGACGTGAGGCGCGGCGACATTATAAATTTTAGAACTGCCCGCGCATTTTGCTACTTTGCCGCGGCTCCACTAGTTTTTAACGTCTACCTGCGCGCAACCTACAACCTACCAGGACGCGCGCCGAGTTGGACTCGTCGACGGTCCCAATATGTGGAACAGATGTTTTACGAGTATCACCCGTTAATCAATCCTTCGCATCTCGCCGATCTGCATAACACATAAGGTGTTGCTAGAAGATGCGCGGCGCGGCCCAGTAGTGCATATCGCGCTATAAAGTAACATCCGTCAAAACACAAAACACGTGAGAGAAGCGAGTTGCTCTAACCAGAGCCCTTTCGCTTGCAGTAGCGCGCGACCGCCGAAGGCGGCAAAGATTCTACTTGTGAATGGTGAAGCAAGCGCGTCACGCAGTATGCGTATACACATGGCTATATTGTATATGAAAGAAGCGAGCAATACTTAAGGTAATGCAGGAGATAAATGTCAAATAAAAAGCTACCGTTCAAGCGGGGTTGAGATTATATTATTATTAAGCTTTTTGTACTTTGCTATTTCGGTATCATCCGTGCGTCAACGACTCAACATGAGCTGCCACGGTGTTTAAAATGTCATGAGCATGCAGTACAGTAGAGTTTTTCGCGCGTTTCTGTGGACGTACGTGCGCGTGCGATGAGAGAACTACAACTCATTTTGCTCGCACAAATGCATTTCGCGCGTTCCATAAAGTTTAAACTCTAGTAGATTTTGCCCGCCACAAGCACTTCGAACTCATACTGGAGGTGGGCTGGCAGTGGGTCATCGTCAATCGTTCAGAAAATTGGTCAGTCTAAATGGATTAGCACTTAATTCTAAGAAGGAAAACTCATCATTTGTAATTACACGATGCTTAGCAATCCTCAAAATGTATCATATTTTAAAAACAGCAAGTAAAATAAATGGCTTTGGAAATTGTACTATTGACACATCAATTTCGCTGTGGCACACAGGCCCAGAATAAACTGAATACTGATTGACAGACAGCAAAACTTATAAAATCCTTCTATAGTGCGAAATTTCGCAGTCGTACCCTGGGTAACTCATGAAAATGTGGGATCACTGATTAGTGAGTGTCCAAGGATATATAGAATAATAACCCTGGAATTCCAAGATATTTATGATATAACTATTATTCTATCTAGGAAGTTCCAAAACTGAGTAGGTAAAATCGTTAATTTAAATTCTCTTGATAGTGTGTTGTGTGTGAAGTGAACGAAAATAGCATTATAAATTATTGTTAAGTGACTACTGACTTAGCCTCCTTGAAAATAATACAAAATGTGGTTTACATATCAAAAATACTTTTTTGCTTCAAAAATTTACTGTACTACTACGACTGCCCGAACAACCTTAAAATTCCTGCCGCTATTCTAATTTAATACTGGAAAAAAAAACTTCGTTAGAACGAATATCCCAATTCTTGAAGAACATTCGAAAAATTTAACCATAGTAATATTATATCAATACACAACGTGATAAATTTCATAGTCTTTCCACATTCACAGAATTTTCATAAAGCAAGTTATCAAAACAAATCAATCATGTTCTAGAATTATATAATAAAGATCTAAAACTTTCAAAAAATCACGATTTCTATTATAGTAATTTGTTATAAATTAATAGTAGCCTCGAAGAATTTGTTCTGTATTAATCATGATAATTGAGCGGTTGAGTAAAGCAAATTCTGTGTGAAAGGGTCTCTCGAAAACCAAAGTCCAAACACGTTGCTAGAACAAGAATGAAACTGAAAAGGATAAAAAGCTGAGCTAGCTACTGAAAAAAACAGGAGCTTTTACACCTCAACCCTTAACATTGTCCACATCGCCGGTTTGCCCGCCGAAACATGCGGTGATACACGATTGAGGGGGAGGTTTGGGTGGATGAACTTTAACAGCGCCGTTGTCAGGGCGCTCGCGCTTTTTGTCCCTGGTGCTGAAGCGCCGTTTGATGGAATGTTTGAGGTTGTAAGTGAGGTTGTGGTGAGGGGGAGAGGGGGGAGGCTCCGTCAGTGCAGTGGGGCTCTCTTTTAGAGAACATATAGAGGCCCCCACCGAGGAGTACTTCTTGTCTAGTGTGTTTTGTGAGCGCTGCTTCTCTATGTTGGACGCACTGAAGAGAACATTATTATATAAGCATTATTATTATCAGGGTTGCGAACTATTCTATTTTAAGAAATCGGTACAAGTGCTGAATGACGCCTATTTGAAGTAGATAAGAATTAAATAACTAATTTGTCCCAATTTCTCACAATGCGACAAGCCCAAATTAATGATGCAGATGATCTAATTAATAGGGGTCATTCATAAAAGTAAGTATATACTCGAGTATATATATACCCGCAACATTACATTGGCTTCCTTTTATGAATGACCCCTATTATGTAATTAAAAACTACCCAATCGCCGCCCAGGCCAAGGTTACCTGGCAAATCTACGATGAACGTTGAAGCACTTCTTCAAGACTTTCAGAGATTTGGAGCTTTGATTGCTCTTGGTGCTTTTTAATGTACTAGTGGTGCTACGACTGCCCGGTGGGGCAGGTGATACAGCGCTCTCCTCGCTGGCGAGGCGCTTCCGTACCGCCTCGTTAGTCCCTGTTACACTGAAAGATACAGAGATAAGGATTGAAAGACTACAGATAGCGAATATTAACAAAATTTTAACTGATATCACAAATTTAGATCATACGTAATGATCAAAATAAGATACAATAAAATAGTTGAAAAACACTAAAATGCACTTTATATTTTGATATCTAACTGTGAACTATTTCTCTCAACACGTTAGCCTAAAAATTTTACATCCAGGCTAAATACATTAACGCTAAAAATAAATACTGGAAGGGCTCTTCTTAATGCAGTTAACGTAAATCCGCATCATCGCATTAATGAAAATACAGCAAGCTTTCCTCTTCTACTCGTTTTAGCACTAGAGTTGTGAGGCTGCAAATAAATCTCTGCTGGACAAACATTTTTCATCGTCGTCATCTTCACTAAATTTAGAACTATTTATATTCTAACATTGTTCCCAACTAAAACTTGTATAAACGCTGCAGAACCATTATCAGTGAGAATGGAATGCAATCCGTGGAGAATGCTAGGTATTGGGTGAACTGTCCAACCTTCAGCCGTATTCACTTTAAACGCAATACTCAAGCTCAGTTGGGCGAGTTGTAAGACGGCAATTATTCCTGTTATCACTGATGCATCATGATTTACCATGATACTGAAAGTTTACAAGAATTTACTTATTTAAGTAATAATTAAAACTTAAAAGCCTTGAACAAGACACATTAAAGAAGTATTCAGTGCGACTGTTTGTGAGAGATAATGCTGCAGAGTTGTTGATTCGTGTCTTAGAACCTAATTATATATTAACGACTACAGTAAGATAATACAAGGGTATCATGATCTTGATAAGTATTCTCATAAACATGTAATCACACCATCTTCCTGGTGAGTAGGCAATGACTAGACACGGTCTTTGTAATGAAAAACATTATACAATTATTATGATATTTGGGCTTAAGTGTTAGATGGCCCGATATGTTGGCATAATGTACAGAATTAAATCATACATTCCCTTAGAAGTGATAATACAAATCTACCACAGTTTTATCCAGTTACACTTCAACTATTGTTGCTTGGTCTGAGGCTTCGCATCTAGGACCAAAATTAAGTGCTTATTCCGTCAACAAAAGAAAGGAATGAGAGCCGAAATGCCAGAAATGTAAATTATTTCTATAAAGATGGAAAGCTTCCTGCCGGCACTGCATCTTTCTTCAACAGCCATTCGATTTTAACAATATTTGGTGTATAAAGTTCATCACATATTTTGTTCTTAAACACATTTTCTTAATTGTAATAGAAATATGCAAGGTATCTAGTAAAGATCGAGGGAGTTAAAGCTGGTTGAAATGCAGGATAGCGTTTAAATGTTATTAAACATGCCAGATTAAGTAAATTACTGATTAGATAGGGTTACTTACACGGTTGACGTGGCCGCCTAATGCTATCATTTACGAAAGCTGTTTACAGTGGTGTGTAGGCATAACGTCAGTACTCAGTGCAGAGTACTCAATATCATTTAGAGCTAAGCATTTGGTAAGGAGTGGCCGGAGTTAAGGTTATACAATATACAACATATCTCGTGCGCACAGGGAATGCAGAATTGGAGAGAAATAAAAGATTTAAACTATTATATAATATTGTTAGTACGTGATAAAAAGCTTGGAAAGCAGGATCCAGCTCAATTTACACGTCTGAGTTTCTCTCGGAATTGTACAAAGGTATTCCAAGTTAAGAGATTCCAGATCAATTGCTTTATCTCGACTTTTCAAATTTCAAAACGTTTAAAACACATTTTTGCAAGTGCCTTTATTAGTAGGACCACCCATGTAGATTTACCAGGAGGAAGTTAGAGTCATTATAACTAAATTTAAGTTTAAACTTTTCACAAGATCGATTACACAGCAACATGTAGGGGCATCACTGTGACGTTTAATTTGACGGTAACCGGTAATGACTGGATTTATTGGATTTTAAAAGTCACAGCGTTTTATATTGTATAAAAATAGTTAGCAGTACAGCAATAATCGAGTTGGATTAATTTCGTTACGACCTTTACATAGCATCCATGTTGATTGTTGGTTGTCAATCATAGGCCATAGCCAACTTTTTATACCCGTTTTTTACGACTTGATGCGCCAAATAATGCGGGATGATTAACGGAAATGTGGACACAAGGTCGACTAAATTATGCGAATTAAACTGGACATAACACATCTTATTATTGCAGTGCGTAGTTCTTTAATGCTTGACTTATTGCAAACAATAAAACTAACAACCTGTTGCTCACTCTTCCAGGACCAAAATATTTATTTCTGCTTTACATAACGAATTAGGTTCTTTACTGAGCAGGTTAGGATAATAAAAGTAAGAAGTTACACATAATATACACATAATATACACATAATATGCTATAATATACACATAATATACACATAATGTTACACATAATATAACGTGCATTGTTTTCACAGTAGTTACTAGAACTAGGTTAGTGGACACAGTTGACCGAGTTGCCAACATGTTGAAATTAAGTCATAATATTACGGACCTTCGTTATATAATAGCATAAATTTGATACGGCAAGGGTTTGTAGATAAATGTATGTAGCCTTTAGATAGTTTTAACTTTTAATGGTATTCGAATGGTTCAAGACGGTTTAAATGTCTGTAAGGCTACTATAATTAATATGTTGTTAACCTTTTGCGAGATAATTCTTTACTAATAGTATCATGTGCACTCTAGCCCAAGGCCAAGGCAAGTTAAGATATCTAAATAACATACCTGGACAATCTGAAAACTCGCTCCGATTTAGGGTACTGAGGGATAACTGATAGGTACTTCCAGATCAGGTACATTTTACTGTCCTGAAATTAAGAAAACTGTAATTTAACTGAATCTTTGTAGCAACTAACGTAATCATGTAACGAATAGGTCATAATTGTGAGTTGAGTCAGAAAGTGAAAGTGTGAGTCAGAAAGCAAAAATGTGAGTCAGAAAGTGAAAGTGTGGGTCTGAAAGCAAAAATGTGAGAAAGTGAATGTGTGGGTCTAAGTCTGGAAGCAAAAATGTGAGTCAGAAAGTGAAAGTGTAAGGCACAGGGCTTACACAGAACTCACGAATCTTGCCATAATGCTGCGACTAAAATAAAAATGTACGAATCTCTTGTGAAATAAATAAATAAAAAATGTGCGAATCTCTTATGAAATAAATAAATAAAAGTAATTCTCAAAATCCTTCATTTCCCACAAGACTAACCACATATTCGGAGTTCTGCTCGTATCTCTGTCCAGCTTTAGTGAGGTAGTTAGCAAGAAGCTCGGTCTGGTATCCTGGTCTGTGAGTGGGCAAGGTTATGTCCACGTGGGTAAACTCAGCTCTTATCTCCAGCTGTTTTGTCAGGATTGTCGTCTTGCAGACTATCAAATACCTGGAGAAGAGACGAAATTATTTTTTCGCTGCAGGATCAAAGGAATGTTGGATAGAAATGTGGCGAACCAACTAGTACACTTTCTGTAGAAAGCTCTTTATTTTGTCATATGACTTTTGAGAGCTCGCATGTAGAAAATCCTTATCATATTACCGATTGCATGTTTTCAGAACCCAATATAGTTTATTAAGTGAAGAAAATTAGAGGGTTGTAACGTAAATAAATTAAATAAATAAATCTATTTATAGAAATATACGCCAACTCCAGTAGCTAATTTAAAATAGCTAGCTACATAATATATAACATCATAATGGCTAATTGTTGTAAATCGTAAATCCCTAATCGCTAGACGAAACACACTATCCAAATTTAAAATGATGATGTAACCATTACAATATCAAGTCATCAAATTCTTCACAAGCAAGCTGTTATCGTATAAACGTGATAACTAGGAATGAACTCGGAACATTCATTGTATCGGTTTTATCGCAACTTCAACAATTCAATAGCACCTTTTAACATTTACTCGTTTTTCTTATTATCAATGAGACTGGTTTTTAAAAACCACGACCGGCTGCTGCCTATTAGGCACACATACATGGTTGTACATGTTGAGATTTATCTGACCAGTCGAGTACTGCGTTTCAGAATAATATGTAAGGTACATTATAAGCAAAATTGTAGTTCAATCATCTTTGATTTTTTACATTATGCAGAGGGTCCTACAAGTTAAAGCTAACAAACTTTTTCCCACAACGTGGAATGATATTCCCATGTCAGTAAAAATTGCCATTAACCATGCCACCTGTCGTGTGAGCTTACACCTTACATACATAGGGATACATACTAAAGACAATAGTAACGCTACTCTTAAACACGAAGTAGGATCCCTCAAACCACATTAATTATTTACTTTCTTATCATAAAATGGGGAGAACTCTCCCCTTGCTTACAGTACTTTAATTAGAACTTTTGGCGGCAAACCACACAGTTCCGGCAACTCGGCTTGGTGAACCATATACCACCATTAACAGCTCGGTGAACCGCATAGCACCAATACCATAAGCTCAGCTAGGTAGAAAAAGTTCCCTTGATAGTACTAAACTATCTAAAATATTTACTTGTGTTTCGGATGAGTTATTAAGAGAATAATTTATTTGTGATTGGCTGATCAGAAATGATCTGCATATTTTTTCCCCTACTCTTGCGGAAGGCAAAAAGATCGTAGGGAATAAGTAATCGGGTTTGGATATATATGAGGTGGCCCGACGGTCCTGCGGTGACGACAAAAGTCTGTTGTGCTGCGTGCGACGCTAGCCACGTGTTAATTAATTACAGTGAAGTTCCTCCTTCGCAAAGTATTTTCCGCAATTTTCTGGATTCATTTATTGTTGATGCGCACGGCGCTACATTGGTCAAATAAATCGTCAATTTTTACCATGCGCGAATCCCACTCATTTATTAAAAACATAGTAACGCTTTGTTGCCCCTAGGGACGACATTTGGAAGGAAAAGTTATCTTAATACTGCCAAACTATCTAAACAATGCTTGGCCGATCAGAAATGATGCGCATATTTATTTTTAATCGAAATCTTATATTGCGTAAATACGCAATAAGTTTTAGATTTTTCTTTTTCTTCTACTTCTTTAAAAATGTTTGCATTTATGATAGCACATATAATATTGTATGTGCTATCTTAAATGCAAATAAACAGTAGTAGAAAAATATGGTATAATTTCGGGGCCTGACGTCAATTGACCATCCTTTAATCTACATATATTAGCAAAATCTGATGGTGGGGAACCAACCAACTTCTTTGCAGGCAAATTCCCGGACATAATGCTGAGAAGCTTACCTTTAAGCTCAGAAGCCTACGCTCTATGCAGCTTAATAAATTAGAAAGGACAACTTTGGGACACAAGGAAAAGTTAAACCATCCATTCCAATTAATCTGTTATTTCATCAAAACGGGGAGAACTCTCCCCTTGTTTGATAGCTTTAGTCATTGACATTTTCAAGCGACATCAGATTTGTATCTGATGTAATCTAGATTTCTGGCACTGGCAGCTGCAAGGAATAAGTCCCATCGTACAGTGCTCAGAAATCAACCAGGAAGTGCAGTCCTGGACATGTATAAGGTGCAAAAGTCAACTATATAGTAGACACACTTCCATAACTTTTGCTTTTGTTTGAATAGGGAAAAATGTTGAAAATCAAGAAACTGATCAATTGAAAAAATGAACCAACAAAGTAAAAACTGACTTGTTAAGAAGTTCTTCAACAGGTTGTGGTGAGTCAATATCGGGATCATACGCAAAGCGTACGGGGAGCGCAGCTAACATGCAGTCAACTAGGGGCACAAACGCATCTCCTTCTTCCATTGGCAACAGAGGACAGAAGTGCGAGCTGTCGTACGCGAGCTGTCGGAAATACAGGGTGTTACATTGGTCTCTGACGTGCAGAAGGTGGTGAATGAAGCATATCATCATAATGTTAAAAATAATGTTAGCAACAACGACCCCAGTGACGTTGAACTTAATTTTAAAAGTAACATAAGCTACATTTCAATTTTATGAATTTAAAAAAATAAATATTTGCTATAATATCACAAATACTAACGATGAGAGGAGTTTTGAAGCTGAGTTCGGGATCCCTTTCGAGAGGCAGATAAACACCTCCAAAGTAGACTGGAGCCAGCAAATCCTGGTTATCTTGCGAGTATAGGTGACTGAAAAACAAGGTTTAGAGCGATAATCCTGGTTATCTTGCGAGTATAGGTGACTGAAGAACAAGGTTTAGAGCGATAATCCTGGTTATCTTGCGAGTATAGGTGACTGAAGAACAAGGTTTAGAGCGATAATCCTGGTTATCTTGCGAGTATAGGTGACTGAAGAACAAGGTTTAGAGCGATAATCCTGGTTATCTTGCGAGTATAGGTGACTGAAGAACAAGGTTTAGAGCGATAATCCTGGTTATCTTGCGAGTATAGGTGACTGAAGAACAAGGTTTAGAGCGATAATCCTGGTTATCTTGCGAGTATAGGTGACTGAAAAACAAGGTTTAGAGCGATAATCCTGGTTATCTTGCGAGTATAGGTGACTGAAAAACAAGGTTTAGAGCGATAATCCTGGTTATCTTGCGAGTATAGGTGACTGAAGAACAAGGTTTAGAGCGATAATCCTGGTTATCTTGCGAGTATAGGTGACTGAAAAACAAGGTTTAGAGCGATAATCCTAGTTATCTTGCGAGTATAGGTGACTGAAAAACAAGGTTTAGAGCGATAATCCTAGTTATCTTGCGAGTATAGGTGACTGAAAAACAAGGTTTAGAGCGATAATCCTGGTTATCTTGCGAGTATAGGTGACTGAAGAACAAGGTTTAGAGCGAGGTTTGTACATAGTCGGATATGTGATAGAAGGTATAAGTACTAAGTAGCGACTAAGACTTGATTAATGTCTTGTAAGAATGCATGCTTTTGAAGATTGTTGTCTATTTATATAATCGAGTATTTATATATTGTAAATTGGATTTGCATTGTATGTCCAACAACAGACATGACACACCCTTTTACTGATTTTGCGGTAATTTTAGACGGTACTTCGCAGAAGTAGCCACGTCATGATATGACGCTGTACAGGGTAATAACCACATTGTATTATAATTATACAAGATAATTATGTAGGATAATTATTAATTATAATACAATATTTCAATTCATACACCATCATACAGCTACTACATGCTAATGTACGGTAAAAATGTGCATTACATCGTGGAATTATCGGCACACATACGTGGTGCTATGAAAAGTTGAAATTATGCATGAAAACAAAAGTGTTGTAATGCCGTGTTGTCACGCGTTTCACTGTACCAAGAATCACCGTGTGTTAAATTGTATTAGTTTTTAAAGCTCGCGATTTTATTTGATTAAGTTGCGTACAATATAGTACGTGTACCAATACGTGTACAAATACGTGTAAAAATACGTGTACTAATACGTGTACAAATAGCTGGTGAGAAGGTTGGTGTATGTATAATAGCAAGGCGCTAAACTCAGCTGTGCGATATACCCAGGTACTACCTACACAATATACCCGGGTACTACCTACACAGCACACTGAAGGTGTGAGAAATCACACTATTCAGCTGCTTTTAACCAGCAGCCCTGACCACACACATTTAAACAGTTGTACTAGAACCTGTTTTTTAAATTAGCATCACGTATTTATTTGTCATTAAAATGTACAGTTTATTCGATTATTATAATAATAACAAGCTGGATTTAGCGTTGTCAGGTTGAAATTATAGAGTTTTATTGATACATTTTAGCGGTACAAATTATGGAGAATCTTAAATTGGGAATAGCGTTAAAGCGGTCTGAGTGTTCGATTTAGCATTAAACTGTAAATATTTACAACCCCACGTAGATTATCGTTATAATACTTTGGTTTAAGTTAATCTTATAACATCAAACTAAGTGGACGTTTCCTCAGTCCTCACATTGCCCACTTGCCAGTGAGGCTAACGTTGTAATAATGTAACATATACCGACTTATACTCTATCCAAATACTGGCAGTTCTACAAACACCCAATATAACGGCAGCTTTTGTTATAACAGTAACAAGTAAAGGCGGTTACCTAATGATCATTGTAGACTGCACTCTGGCGCAGGGTTAAGATTAATTACAACAAGTAAATTCAGAGAGAAAGAGGGGAAGGTTAAACTTGAAAAGTCACATACGTTATATAAATGTCACAAGTACAGGGTGGCCCAGAAGTAACTACCCACACGCAACCCTTTAATAACTCACGTAATTCGTATCAGAATTGCTCAAAAATTTCAGGGAATATAGATATGGGTCTAACTTAGATTTCCTGAAAATTTCGTAAAATTTCATCGATTACAATTACAAAGGGTGTGGCATGGTAAGTATTTAGTGGACAGCAGAAATGTCAATGGTTGACCTTCAACCATTTGATATACGGCAATACTGATTACTTTAACTACGGAATTTTATATAGTTAATCTGCTATATATGGAAATACATTCGGGGATTAAAAGCATCAATTATTTATGAATTGTCGCTAAATTGTGTGCATGCTTTTCGTGTTGAGTTGTTGCAAGTGGCTGCAAAATAGAGAACTTTTCTGCAGTTACTTTTTCCACTTAGGTAATCTTGATTCCAATCGATTTGATAAGGAATTATTTTGAAAGTTTTAAATGTGAAGCATCAATTCGAAATTGAATTATTGCTTTCTTGTTACTCCACAGCACTCTTTCAAGTAACTGTTGTTAAAAGTTAAGATCCACTGATACCTCAGGACCAGGTAGCTGTTGTTTAAAATTATGATCTATATTCTCTGACTCTCTGCCACGCAGCAATCCACACAATTGCAGAGAACCCTGGAGGGTACAACATAATATACCTGGAGCTGGGAGACCAGTGACCACCCTAATAAGCCCGCACATAATACACTGGGAACCCATCTTGTATTCAAACACATCATGTATAATGTCATTGGTTCTCCAATATCGCATTACAATTTGAACCCAGCTAATCAAATTACAGGAACAACAGGACCTTCTGTAGAAGTGGGCATTAAGTAGGCTATACTAACAATATCATTCCTGGATAAGGCACAATGAGGGGGCCTGGAGGGGGTGGTGCTGTTTAATAATACAGGAGAGAGGGTGCACTGGCACAATATGGATCATGTTGCAATGTTATTTTTAATATTATTACGAGCTAGGCCTTTGATCTATTTTCAGATTTATAGATAACGGAGCATCGATTTACAGATTGCAATAACGTTATCCTTTCTTTTCTCATAATACTCCGATACTCTTAATACAATGAACTCTGATACTCTATAATATTAACAGCTGATGGAGACCAGTACATTGGATTTATAAGGAGCTGTTAATCTTACTTTGATTTGTCTCATGTTATGTACTCTATAAACAGTACAATGCTAATCGTTATGAGAGATGGTAAACCAGATAAAGAACTAGGTGTGAAAATATTCATGAGACATTCAAAGTATTCATTCAATTTTTATTGAATAATGATATTCACATAAAATATGTAACCCCGACGCGGCTGTTCCCCGTACACTGTACAGGGATTGTGTTAAGAGTTATACTACAATTCCATGCCAGGTGGGCAGTCTAATGAAGGGATATGTAAACGTAAGGTAAACGAACAAGTACACCACACAGCTGCTGGGTGGATTTATTGGGTTATTTGATTACAATTCTGTAACATCTGGAGGTGTTTTACTACTTTCCTGTCTCGCCAGGTAGTCAAAGATTCACATGGTGCTGGAAAGGTTTCAGGGTAATTACCAGAGATTTACACAGCAGTTAACAGCTGCAAGCGTGTGTTACAGTGTCGTCAGGACGGGAATTATATAAATTGGGAGAGATTTGCTCACTTTTAAGAGTGTTTATTGAATTCATACATGAAAGCAATTAGACGCGAAGATTAACTCATGAAATCCAAAAATCGTTTATAATCCTCGCAAGTTCAGGAATCATTACTGTCAGTGCAATCTACCTGCAACCATATGTGTATGACCAGGTACATACGTGACGTATGTTGGATTTACGCCCATGCTGGATAGCAGTATTCAGCTTGTAACACTGAAGGTTGCTTTCATTTCATTAGGGAAAATTCAAATGTGAGTCATTACTGCGGTTATACTCCAGACAATTTCTAAGGAATCAACTTTACTCATGGCATGGCATACCATAAATTCCATTAAAAATGTCCCATTTCTTTGTCATGATTACTGACAAGAACAAGTAAAATATACTTGCACTGAAAGGTTTGAAATCATGCCACATTCGGACAAATATAAACATTGAACTAGAACCATAAGGTTACATGTAGGCCTTTCATAATTTGTTCTGTCATATTATACCGTTCAAATAAATTGCATCAACATTTATTGGACGGATTACGGACAAATCGTCTTACCTCATAGCTATCACAATGATAGGGCGATAGAGCACATTAGCTAGAACATACACGTGGAAATCTTCCAGAGATCGGTACTTCACTTTGTTGAGACTGTCCATGCTGTAGTAATCATTATCACTTGATTCTTCCGGAGGTGTCGAACTGAAGAAATAGCCGAATATTATAAACACTTTGAACAATTTAAAAAATAATATCGGCTTGTGATCTATTGTATTGTGTACAGTACAATACTGGACAGGTCAGCTAGCTCGGGTACATTACAAAATTTAGATTATAAACGGAAGATATCTAAATACAAACCAAAAGAAGATGGAAAGATATGGATCTCACCTGTCAGGAGGTTTTGAGAGGGGTGCAGGGGAGGACATCTTGAGAATATCTTCCCACTCACTCGACCACTGCTCATCAGTTAGTTCTATGTCAAAACCAAACTCTTTGAATCTCAGCTCCATCTCATGCTGCCACCTTCTTCGTAAACCTGTGGATAAAGCTCTAGTTATTTTCTGGATTTGATTTATAGAATTATCATCACGTTTGCGATGATTAAGAAATTACAAAGTCAAATACATATCAGTTTCTATCATTCCAGCATAATTTAGATTGCATATAGGATGATGAACTGCCCAAGAACGTGTTGTATTGAATTTGTTGTATTGAATTTGTATTGAAATACAAGTCATGTGAGTGGACTTACTTGGTAGTTGAGGTAGAAGTCTGTGAACTGATCCTCTGAGCGTGAGTTCCTTATCATGAACTCCATAAATTCCCAGACTAGCAGCATGCAGCAGGCAGTTTCCATCACCACGTGTTACAATTGGATATAACCGGTTCTTTGGCTCTTTTACTGCCCACCAATTGAGATGGTGAAAGTGCTCCAATCTTTCTAGCGTTTGTATATCCACCAGATCATCAAAAAAGAAACAAAGTATTTCAGCATCAAGTGATAAGAGGTTAGGCAAGTAGAAAAGGTCTTTTGGTACCACTATTTCCTCCACTTCATCTACAGGTGGAACGAGATGATTGAAGTCATTCTTTATTTTTTCGTGTAAAGATGTCAGCAAGGTTTCTGGACTGAAGAGAAAATAGTAATGTTAGGATTTCAAATCAAGAATCTTGACACTCAAAGATCACAATGAATGACACTCAAAGATCACAATGAACTCAAAGATCACAATGAAATTGAAAATTTAGTAGGAACAAAGAAATTGAAAATTTAGTAGGAACAAATAAATAAAACTTATTTATTGAAGGAGAAAGATTATGGCCTTTGTATCATTGGTTAACAAGTAGGCTATATCAAATCACCTGCAGAAGGAGAATCCTCTGTGATATCTGTTGAGACGCCTTTCATCTCCATTCAGGGGAGTGTCAGCTGATCCCCCAGCAGTGCTCGTCACGTGGGGAATGCGTGTCACCGGCTGTGGTAATGTGTAGCTCTGCAAAATATAATGCTGCTGAATAATTTGATCTAATATTGTTACATGTTCATGTACATTGTACATTGTAGAAAGTGAACTATCTCTGTCGATGGAAACTATCTCTATTAAAGCAGGAGGAAGCTCAGAGTTTCTTCTTGTAGGCAATAACACGTGTTTTAAACAAGTTCATAGACTAATTACTAAATTAAGCAATTATCTACATATACTTAAAGTTACCTTTTCATCAGATATAGAATGAAATAGTTGCACTGCATCATCCACAGAATTCTCAGTGATCTTCAACAAGACTTGGGCAACTGAGCTGTCAGCAGCTGTTTTTGAAACAAACTCGGCAACACACTCTGCATTATCACCCATTAGACCTCACATCCATCTTTTTTAGAATAGACTTTTTAGATTCAATTCTATTCAGATAGTAATATTAGTAATTTAGTAATATTATATTTGATGATGGCTATTTGGAATAAAGCCGTTTCAGGAAACTGTAAACTCTGCAGCAAACAAGGGACACTTAATCATATCCTCACGTTCTGCAAGGTTGCACTAAGACAGGGACGTTTCAACTGGCGCCATGATCAGGTCCTACGTGAAATCATGAAGACTGTTTCATCACAGATTGACGAGTTTAATTCCGACATCGCCAAGGAATCGAAGAGGGCACCGTCGGTCTTTCACAAGGCAGGCAATAAGCGCGAGAAGGTTACCTTAGCTGACCCAACTCATCATAATATAAGACCCAAAGATATTTCTTTTCAGATGCCAACGACTGGAAGATAATATTTGATGAGGATGAGAGACAGAGGAACTTCCCGCAGCACATTGCAGCTACACCACTAAGACCTGATGTAGTGATCTATTCAGATAAAGCAAAGAAGGTTTATCTAATGGAGCTGACTTGTGGAAATGAGCAGAACTTTGCTGATCAAGAGAAGCGAAAGATGAAGAGATATCAGCAGCTGACAGAAGAGATAGAAGCCAACGGATGGGCTTGCAAGCTCCAGACAGTAGAAGTGGGAGCTCGAGGCATTTACAACTATAGCCTCCCAACATTTATGAACCACCTGAACGTAAAGAACAAAGAGAAGAAGAAGGCCTGCATGAAGATCGCTGAGATCAGCCTGAGGGCATCGTATACCATCTATTTGTCCAGAAACACTACCATATGCATATGGACAGATGATTGGGAGTTAGTCAAGAGACCAGTAATAGCATAGTAGGAGCGTAGAATGTTTGGGCCCAGAAAAACATGTTTAATACCGCTATGAACCCGTCATAAGCCGGGGACTACTATTAAAATGATGATGCTGTGTTGTTGAAAGACCTTCGACCAATCAAAGATGTACCTCATCACGCCAAGCAGTTATGCTTGTAGGTGAATATACACTTAAAGAGTACAACAACTTTATAACACTCCTCCTGAGAGAACCAACAAATTGTATATCATTACGGCTTTTATACTGTAAGGAATAGGAAATATTAACCATTCGGATCACATAGCTACAATCTGTAACATTCGCAGTGATTAGGCTGAATTGCTGATATTATATTCTAAACCAAATTGAGATACAATTCTCGTGAAAGTTTCTGACAACCTTACACTGCAACTGGCAGTAGCACACGATCGAAGGGCCTTTCTGATTCAAAATTTGCTCCTTTTTCAAAATTTGCTCCTTCATAAATTTTAAAGTGTTGAAATTTTAATAATTAGTCTTAAAATCCCAACATTCTTCTTTTTTCATCACCCTGTATATCTCAAAAACAATATACACATATTTGTCACAATGACCCTATATAAAAACAACCCTTCAAAAACTCAATATATTCCCTATCTCAAATATTGTGAGAAACATTTGAAAATCACCCTTGGCCTTGTGGCTCCAAATTCAAATCTAGACTATCTATATTTTTTTTGTAAAGCTAGAACAAAAGTGTGTCAAACAGTATATATACATTCAATTAAATCAAGTGTTGCAATTGGCAGAGCACAATTCATTGCTACCAATGATTTTTTCAAAAACATTTTAACAAAACACATGATCTACTCCATTATAGGGGCAGGGATGAGGTTGTATGAAACTTCTGATAGCTGAATCTCACGTTTGGTGTCCACCTTCTTTCCTCGGTACCCTCGTAGATCTATCTATATTAACAAAGTTCTTTCTCGCACCTATGTCTCCCAGGAGAGAAATCACTGTTGTTCTTAGGATTTCGAAACGAAGGCGCTTCCTTATATATCCAACAGCATATGAATATTTTTGACCAGTGTGTATATCTCAAAATGTTTGCTTATGCCTTGTGATACCTTCTCACAGCCTAGACTATGGTCCAGAACGTCCAAAAACAAATCAAAACATCTGATCTTTGAAAACATTGTCAAGATCGAAATAGTGGTTGATGCAAATGTACGTCGAGTTCAGTCGAAGTCTGAATGTGGATTGGCTGCCTCTTTATACTATATTATATTACCTGAGAAGGCAGCTCCATATTATGACTTAGCTAGAGTTATCGCCTAGAATCATCAACGAAACGTGTCCGAAACGGGATGGAACTCAGACCTGACTACAACGGGCAACCTTTAGGACTTATTCAAATCTTTGTTTGCTCCCACAATTGCGGTCGTATTTTCCAAAAAAAAACTTATAACTTCACTTTTTAAAAGTAGAAATAGCAATTATATCACATTCAGATTTGGTAAAATTCAATCTCATCACTGTAAAAGGATATCCTCATCTGAATTCTGAGATCAGCCCTCCCTGCGGTTTCTTTGCGTTCGCGACTATACCCATTTGTGATTCCACTGTGTAGACGCAGGTATGACAAATCATATATCTTCGTAAAGTACATCCTCTGACTAGGAGATCACAAGTTTAATCAGTTCTGGAGACTGTTCCTGGACAGAGTTATGACGGTTTAAAGCTTCCGTGCCGTGCAATAGCCCCAAAATGGTTAAACATGTACACCGTCGTAGAATAACTTTGCATAGGGAATGCGCGAGCACGACAATATGATAGTTAATTTTGATTTTTGGCCTCCGGCACTATAGCCTAGTTGGCTAAGAGGGCGATTGACCGTGCTAGCTGAGGGTTCGAATCCCGGTCTGACCTTTAATTTAGTTTGAACTGAAACAAGTTGTTTACTATTTTCATCAAAAAGCTTCTCTAGCTCTAGTGTTAGGTTAATATTGATTAGTTAATCATATTACAAGTTGTACTATAGGATGAAATGCACAATTAGAAATTGGAAAGCAGCCATACGCAAAGCGTCTTTATGCTACAATATTATAGTAATAACATTGTTTGTCTCAGATAATTTTTAAATAAAAGAAGCGACCAGCATCGCATCTTCATCGATTAGTTCGGAGTCGTCGCTATATTCAGCTATAACATTGATTTTTAATTGATGCTATAGCAGATATGAGCAGCTTTTATCAGTCTGATTTGGTAGGTTTTGGGCTGGGCCCAGTTTGCTAAGGATTCTGTTTCTATCTGTTGTAAAACTTGATGGTCTGCTGTGAAATGAAGCTCTGGATTGGTCTTTTAAATGCCTTTCTCAACGACAATCCCTCCTTAGCAGTTACTTATATTATTATATAACTTTATTCAAATCAAAAATAGAACATAAATGAACATCTTAAAGATCTGATAAGTAGCCAGAAAAAAAGAAAAACTGATACACAAGCTATAACAACTTCTTCCATCCCGCTCTATCAGAGGCTAAAAGTCTTAAATTGTACAAATCGTCTGTATTTACAAATGGAATGTTCCTGCTACCTAAATCAAATTTTATAGTCTTAAGCAAGTTCGACTGGTGTCTACCTACTCTACCCTTTTTAGTACTCTGACTCTCTACTGCAAAGTGTAATGCAAGCTGTGCAGGTGAGTTGTTATCACTGCGAAGGACATGTCCGAGCATCCTCCATCGTGCACATGCAACACGCTCACTGAGTGGAACCACTTCACATCTCTTGTAAAGGGTTTCGTTTTTGATTATATTAGGGTAAGTCATTCTGATGATCTGCCTCAGATGCTTTCTGTGGCAAATATCCAGTTTACTCAGTAGCTGCTTTGAAGCTGCCCAGCAGCTACAATTATACATTAAGACGGTTACTTATATTAAAACTTTTTATTCGGACTATTGTCTATTGACATGTAGTGTCTGGAGAAGGAGGGCAACGAAGGAGCACTTCTCAGTTGTACAGTGGGCATTTCTAGACGCTGCTATCCATTACCTTCGACATCTGAAACAGATTTTAATATAAGCAACTAATTAATAATACGGGTGAGACTTAAGTTTCAGTAAAATTAAATCTGACACTTGAGTGCAGTAACGAGAGAAATCCAGTGCATCTCAAACTGCTAAACTTGGCTTACTGTTTGAGAATCGTGACCTGGAATTGTTGAAATTCCAGCCTCCAAGATCAGAGTTGCTTTTACGTCCTCTTAAGAGGCTATCGAGATTCCACACTGTGTATGCTCTGTTCTCTGTACTTCCGGAGGTTGTATAAACCTGAGAAATCAAACAGTTCAATACCAGAGAGAATGCTGAATACTCAGAAAGTTGTCCAAAAAATACACAAATCCGAATTTTTCTCTTTAGTAGCGATTTGAGACAAAATTTACCTTCTTTCGGACTGAATTTTTAACTGAATTGAAGTATAAACGATTACCTCTACAATAGTATTAATTACTTAGTTAAGTTATCATCAGAAGTCAAGTTATGGTTGACTTTAAAGCTTGAAAAGGCTAAAATTTAAAAAAACTTTGCTCAATGACGCGCGGCTCAGAAATGCGCGTGTTATGCTCGCGCAATTATTGCTTACAATTTTCTTTCATTCGGCAAAAAAATAACTGTGACCAACATACATGTTATAAAACTCTGCTATAAATCCTGGAATGTTCTGGAATTATAGAGGGTGCAAGGATTTAGGATCGTCATCAATGTCCCGCCAAATCCAAACTTTTTCCTGTAGCATATTATCACAAATACGGCGTGTACAATTTTTGCGCGTAATAAACCTAGATTCGTTCTGGCGAATAACGAAGCCTCTAGTTCACATCCAATGAGCGGGCTTATGAAGGAAAGATTTCGAGTTGAGAAGACGTCAGATGGCATCTTGGGTTCTTGGAGTATTCAAAGACAGAACAACACCTGTAATGCTCCAGCTCTATAAATCCCTGATAAGGTCCAGAGTGGAGTACTGCTGCCCGCTTTGGAATCCAAACAAGATCTATAATATCCAGTCTATCGAGAGCATACAACGACAGTTCACTAGACGGATTCTAGGGCTCAGAGACACCGATTATTGGAATAGACTGAAGGAACTGAAACTTACATTACTGCAAAGACGCCGAGAACGCTACACCATGATACATCTGTGGAAAGTTCTCCAGGGTATATGTCCAAATGACCTAGATGTACAGTTCAGAGAGAATGCCAGACTGGGAGTTAAAGTTATACTCCGGGAGTAATACTCCCTTCTCTCACAAAAAAAGCATCAGCTGGTGCACGCTCCACCTACGATCACTCATTCGCAGTGAGAGCTGGAAGACTCTGGAATGTTCTCCCCGAAATTGTCAATACTCAAAGGACTTTGACAAGCTTCAAGACATCTCTTGGAAACTTCCTAGACACCCTACCAGACAAGCCCCTACTCCTGGATACAGTGCAGAAAACTCTAACTCGATAACATTACCTTGTGTCTCAGATCTAGAGTTAACATTACCTTGTATCTTAAATCTATTGACTATATTTAACATTACAATATACTTTACATCTATAACCTTATGTTATAAATACCAACATTCACATTATCCTGTACCCTATAATGTACCTTACATCCCTTATTCCGTATATTTGCCATATACCGAAGTCTTAATCACGTTATTTTTCGTAATATATATGGACACTGTTCTAATTATTGGTCTGCAATGTAAAGTAAGTGAAATTATAATAGCTCTTAAACTTAAACTTATAGCTCTTGGTGACTCCCTGCCAGTGGGTTTGTGACAGGGGTGTTGCCATGAGAGGTTCAAATCTGACAATGTTTAACGATTGTTCATGTTGTTAGCTATAATGAGATGGTAAGATGCACAACCACAAGTTAAATCTTGTAGATGTAAGATTGCCCACAAGGACGAACCTGGGAACACAACTAAACACTGGGCAGTGCCTTCAAGGCAATGAAGACCTAAATCTTACTTACTTCATTCTATTGACATAATAGTAAGATGCTGTTAACGTAGCAGAAAGATTAGATAATAGCTGATTTTACATTTTCCCGAGTATAGCTTTTGACTAGTATCTCTTACAATTACCAACAAGCAGAGGGTACCATTCAGAGGTTACTACAATTATAACGTGCTGGTGCAGTGGCAGCTGGGTAAAGTTGGCATGGAGGTAGCAGAAAGTAACTACTAGAAACATCTACTAGAAAGTAGACGTAGAATTTACGTCTACTTTCCAGACTAAAAAGTGCATGTTAGGATGGAAAAAATAATCAGGGAACTTGATTTGCGAACCTAACCATGGAAATATTACAATGAGTCGGAGTGTTCCAAGGATATTGATGTATACACTATACATACATTGTAATAACTATAGAATGTTCTGTACTCTCTGCACTATATAAGGTCACAACAATTGTGACGTCAAAATCGCATCTGTTTTCTTTTGTTTCAAATCTAAGTTTCATGAGACTAATCTAATTTAGACCTTCGAAGGTAATGACTTGAACTTGTGTGTTCACTGTGTAAAGAACACACACAAAAAGTAAGAGTTTAACAAACTATTTGAAGTGTAGACAAACCTTTGGTTTCTCTCCCAAGCCAAGAGTTCGGCCGAGTGTCTCAGTCCACCAAACCATGAGGTAGGAGAATACTGCGATCCACAGGATGGACATGATGAAGGTCACTGGGAAGAACATCTTCCATTTCTGAAACATCAGGTTATTAGCTTGCCAGATAATACCTGGTTTAGATCACAGCTGTGTTGAAAGCATTAAAAGGGTTTACTTTCAACACTTCTATGATAATGTTGATTCCTACATTAGAATTTACTGCTTACAAATTGAGAAGCAGAATATTGAGGATATACTCATTTTGGCAGTACTAAAATCTAAAATTAGTTGACAAGAAAAGTTTTACCGTAGATTCTGCTACGGATTGGAGTTCACTTGCCATAATAGCCAAACAGTACTATAGAGAGCACAACAAGCTATAATGAGATGGTTAGATACATTTGAGGATTGCTGCACTATATAGGGACAGGACTATATAGTGACAAGCACTTTATAGTGACATGTGAGACGGCTCAAATTTACAAAATTTTGTACATCCATTCAGACTTATTAAACAATGATCTACATTCTACATAAATGATAGAATAATATCTCTCTGGATCATTATTAACCGCCATTTTACAGCACTTCATTATTATCAGTACAAATGAATAATGAAGCTCGTATCATGACATGTGAGTATACAGATAGATAAACCACCTAAATAGCCATATTTTAATAAATAAATAAATAAATTCTAACATTTATTACACGCTTCGACATTAAAATATGCCCAACAAAGATGTACATTTAAGTCATTCAAGCGATGATTAAGCTCTGAAATTCAACTCAGTACGTCAGAATAATTGTTAAGGGAGGATACGTATCAAATGTAGATACGTGGTTTCATATGTGGGTAATTGCACGTTTCAAACCAATTTAACCGCTGTTTTCAGCACATATATGGTATCTTTTAAACCACATTTGGTACACGAATTACAATAAATTGAATAAAATATGTGACTAATTGTTAACAAATGGTCGGTTTTGATCAATATTAACCACCAATTATCGACACCTTAGAACTTACAGTAATAATCAATTATGAAGCTGCTATGACTATGGTATAGCAATCAAATAAACCACTAAAACAGCCACTTACGCCATAATAATTGATACCAGGCTACATTAGGCTCAAAATTGAGTTTGTCAGTTTAAGATGCATTTAAAATGATCTGATAGGAAAACTGGCTCCCTACAAAATGCAAAAACCAAAATGAAAAATTCTGGTCATAGATCATACAAGGCTGGTCGGTCGGAGGTCGGTCGGGCGCCGGTCGGCGGTAGGTGAACGCGGTCGGAGGTCGATCGGGCGCCGGTCGAGCGCTGGTTGGAGGTCGGTCGGTCGGAGGTCAGTCGGGCGCCGGTCAGAGGTGTGTTGTCCACCTCGCAGATGTCCATGCAGCCCCTCTTAATCCCTTCCAGCCGCAGTCCTCTCCGACACAGCCCATCATGTTTCCAACCGCCAACAGGACGATGAACACCAGTGCTGGTCAAGCCCTTACGCTTCATGCTCCAGGGACCAGGTCCAGCTCCACTATCCCGGCCAGCCGCCTACTCACGAAGCGATGTAGTGCAGAGTTCGATAGACTTGTACAATAAGATACGACTGACAGTAATGGATCCTCCGACCGACCTCCGACCGGCGCTCGACCTGCGCCCGACCGGTGCCCGATCGACCTCCGACCAACCTCCGACTGGCGTTCACCTACCGGCGCCCGACCGACCTCCGACCAACCAGCCTTGTCTGATCTATGACCAAAATTCCTTACCGTTTAACTGCTACGCGGCCGCGAAATTTGCGATTTTTCGCAAACCAATTTTTTGGCTTTTTGGCAGCGAAAAATAGCTCTTAGTTCTTACTCTATGTCTGTTACACAAATGAGATAATATAGTAAGTTGACTCCTTTCATATCTCCAAACAACTCTCAAATCTTAATTTATTTGAAAAAACCTTAATAGGCTATCTATACTAATTTAGCTGATTTTTGACATGAACCTGAGTTTTTGCCCCATTTTTAGGCAAATTTTTGGCCTTCCAGCCCAAATATAGTTGTGTTGCCGGCATTTGCCGCCCTATTCCATAACTCCATCTAAAAGCCTAGAGTATTCCCTACAATATACAAAAAAATCATCTTGGGCATTTTTTTTAAATTGCAGATTTTTTACCAATTTATCGGCTAAAGCTATGTTATTTGGGGCTTGTGCCCACTGTGCAGGTGCAAGCTTAAGTATGATGGGGTATAATAGGCTATTTCAAATGTTAAAATATGATTACATATGTGTTTAATACACGTTTTCGCACATTAACAGCTGTTTTTAGCACATTAGTGTTATCTTAACCAATTGTTAACCACCAAAAATAAACCATTTATCTGCATATATTGTAAAATTCATGGCATTACCACTAAAGATTAACCACTGATAGAGATCACAAGGTTCACTGTCAAAATTTAAGGCAAGTCTAGACAAGTTAGCCAATGTCCACTAAGTTTCCCCAGATTTGCTGCTATTGCTGTGTTGTTTCCAGTTACCAAAAATAACTAACTTTCGACATAACATACACTGCTATGAACTGTCGTACAGTTGCAATTTTTTAAAAAATGCCAAGTACTTACCTACACAAACATAAGTCACATGGGAGAGTGTTTCAAGGCTAAAACCGTCGGTATTCGTTCTGAAAAAATGTCCATTAGTATTGCAGATCAGCTGGATCAATGAAGCTATCATAAGTTCTCATTGACTCAGTTAAAGCGCTCTGTTCTCAAAAGTTTAATTTATTGACATTTTCCTGATGCAAAATTTTTACAAAAATTGAAGTTTGTAAAGACTATATTGGATTAAATACAGAATTACAGATAGATTATATTTATGTTAAAATACAAATTATCCAATATTCATGATATCATGTGCCAACTTAGGTAAGGTTTAAAAGCAAATTTTTATGAAAGTAGTAATTACAGAGCTTTTCATAGATCAAAGTATAAACGAACTTACGAATTATAATTATAAGTTATAAGTGATTAGTAAATACCTCATGATTATCAAATAATCTGAAGAGTAAGGGTTATCTGCTGATGCATGTTATCTGCTGATGAATGCCAAGGTTGTCTTTCACCGTGTGAAGTGCCGGTCGTGTGTTCATTCTAATTGAAGATTTATTGGTTTTACAATAAATTAAAAGCACTTAAGTTTTCTTGCCACATTGATCTTTATTAAATGTAGTTAACAAGGGCATGAATGAATTTGAATCCTAAAATAGAGTTGATCCCGTAAATTAAATCAACACCAAACGGTTCTCAACTTTTCATAACCAGCTGCACACATACAGCTGAAGATAATAAAATTACGGAACAGAGCCATTTGTACACGTTAGTAGAATTACAACTTTATTGCAATGAGTAACAGTCTTTCGACAGACTATTACTTTGTTTTACTAATGAAATATAAATTAAAATCCGTTTTATCTGGATTTTAGTCATTGAACATTAATGAGCAAAAAACGATCAAAAAAGGGAAGCTGCAAATAATTTAAATTTGACATTCCAAAACACATGAAGTTCCTGGCAATAGTTTAAATTTGCACCATCTAAAGTCATTCCAAAGGCCCTGTAGCAATACTTGAAAATTTTCATAAAACCGATATTTAACTAACGTTTTGACTTGTCAAGTCAATAGAAATAATTATTGAAAAACAACAAACGCAGTTAAAATGAATTTAATCAAATTTGTGTTTGACAAAACAGGTTTTAAATTCGTTGCTACTGTACAGCTAGCAGCACACTTTTGTAAATTCCAAGCCGAAGTTATGCGGAGGATATTCCAAGATTGCAGATTGTAAAATCAAGCAAAACATGCGCGCATCTGAAAATAAAAAACCAATCTTGGACTAAAATTTAACGAATGATACTTGGAGTTAATATCAAATCATTATTTCACAAAAGTTATGTTCAATACTAATTATAAGAAAAATGAACTGGGCAGAATTTGTGGTATTTAAAAAGTTGTTATAATGACAAAATGCCGTACAAATCGGCGCGTGGCTTTGTCATTTGTGTTTTCAGTTTACAGTTTAGTGATTTGTAACTTAAATATGATTGCAGAAAAAACATTTGTTACTTCCTTTTTGATGCAAAACCAGAATTATATATTTATATAATTCTAATGTAATGTAAGAATGATACTTGTGTCATATATTTAAAATCATATTACTACCATATTTATCAACACACAACATTGAATTGAACGCGTATTTGTCAATAACAAATAACAAAAACTATTATTACTCATCAATTTAAAACATAAATTGGCTCATTATACAAAAAAATCTTACAACACAATATAATATTAAATTGTAAGTGTTGACACATAATTGATCGCTATGCTATTCATATTTCGCGCGGCGCAAGTGAACCGTCCGTTAAACACACTCGATGCTTATAATGTATGCGTCTAATGCATCATTAATGGAAGGCGCGCCGGTGAAATTTTTGCGCGCGAATTTACGATTTAAACGAAAAGAAACTGCAGGGCTTTTCTGATCAGAAACTGAATAATTTTGATACAAATGGTAAAGTATAAAATTCAAAAGAAGGTTTAGTTGAGTGAAAAATGTTTTTAAAAACAACTTCAAAGCTAACATTAATATTTTGTATTATATTTTATAATATGTGTATGATGGATACCTGACATGAATTATGTTGACATACGTTCCATGCCGCCGAACGCTTAACGGGTGGTACTCGTAAAATATTTGTTTCAAGACCTTCTATTCGACAAGTCCAACTCAGCACGCGTTTTGGTACACAGTAGGTTAAAAACCTACAGCAAATCATAAAACACGAATTAGCTCGATATAGTTGATGCAAAATGGTACAATTGCAAAATTTTTACTTTTTTTCCCGGATTTGCATGAATTTCCTTTAAAGCTATTTTAATTCATTTAAATTATAAATTTGTACTAATAAATAATAAGAAAAAACAATAATTTGAGGATTTATTAATATTTTACTGTTCTTTAACGGGTGATACTCGTAAAATATCTGTTCCAACTCGCGCGCGTCCTGGTAGGTTGTAAACCTACAAACTGTTCTTTAAATTTTATATTCGATACTTATAATCTATAGTACTTGAAAAAATATTGTTGTATAAAATAAAAATAATTTATTTCGAATTTTATTTTCAGTTTTAAACTATTTTCACAACTACAATTAAATACATTTATTGAGGAGAAATGTCGAGTACTTTTATGAAAGAAGAATCTAAAGACTTATTCTATGGTCAGTTTGAGAATGTGAAGTCTGAGAAGTTGGAGTATGTTTACGAAAGTATGCCAATCACCCTTGTTCCGGACAGTGTTCCAGGTGATCACATTCCATTAACTCTGTCTATAGACTATGCGCCTAGAGAGGGCTCCTCCACTGAGATGTATGTTGAAAAACGGTTTGATTGCAATCTTTGTGACAAATCATTTAAATACAAGCATGGTTTAACTGACCACATGAAACGAAAACACGAGGGAACGTCCGTTGTTGTAGACTTTGGTTGTAATTATTGCCAGAAGTCGTTTGCAAGCAGTGCAGCGCTGCACCGGCACACTCTTACCCATACCAATCAGCAGATCCCTTGCAGGAAGGAGGGTTGCGGTCAAGTATTTGCATCTGAGAGTGACATGAGACAGCACATCGAGCAGGAGCACCTTGACAAGAAGTTCAGTTGTCGTGTCTGCAGCAAGATGTTCACCAGAGTCTCCAATCTCAACAGACACATGAAACTTCATCAGAACATACGAGAGTTCCCATGTACATTGTGCGGTAAAGAGTTCACACAGTGAGTCCACCGTGACAAACACATGATGATACACTTCAGATCCTCGAACCAATGTCCAAAATGTTCCGCTGTTTACACAAAACTCAAATATTTCAACAATCACGTGACCCCAGTGACATAAAGTGAGGAATCTAAGAATCTAATTCCTAGCCATATTAATTTCCATAGCCAACTTTAAAATAGTCGCTCTCGGTTGTTACACACTGTAACGCCGCGCACTGTACTTTAATTCTATATTTATCCGAGAAGATGTTCGAATCGAGCGCAAATGCCAGATTCCTGTCAGGATCCTAGTTCTTGCGCTTAACTTGCGCGTTACCAAATAATCCAAGATATTTCTGTCAGGATCCAAGATTTTCCTACTACCAGTATGGTAGTATGGACTGTTTGGTAGTATGGTAGTATGGTAGTTGCAGGAACGCGCAAAGACCTATATGTAAATATTACAAAAACGTACATGAAGTCGTAGCCTAGTTGGTTAATCCATCGTTACTACATTAGCAGATCGTGAGTTCGAGACCCGGAAAGGAATTCTTTCACAATCTTTTGGCAATTATGAATAACTATACTAATGAATTAATAACTATACTAATGAATAACTAAACCTCTGTAATATAACTAGCAAAGTAAAATGAAATCGTTATCCGGCCGCGGAGCGGCCGAAAAATTTATGGTAGTCGTTTTAAAAATATATGGTAGCCGTTTTTTCTTTCCAGACTGGATTCCTAGTCCCTTTTTAAATTTATGTCACTGGGCACGTGACCAATGTATGTTACAGTCACACCACAGTCTACAACCCTCCAACTCTAGCTGAGAAACTGACCACAAAAGTCCAGATTACCGAGCCAGTTCCCTACAAAGTTCCTTACAAAGTTCCCTATAAAGTTCCCTACACCACATACGCAACACACACCTCAATACCCTTTCCCCCAACTAATTACACGATGATGTGTCCCATATGTATGGCCTTTCAGCAGGATTTAAAGCGGTTACGGGGGCACATCATCAACGTGCATCATGTGGACAACATTTGCCCGCAGTGCAATACCAAACACAACGATTTCAATGAGTTTGTAACACACCTGCGGGAGTGTTATGTAGAGGATAAGGAATCTTCGACCATGCTCACTGACTTTGCTAACTCTCTTCTGGATAGCTTCCAGTTTCATTGAAACTTTTACCTTGTAGCTATTATATATTTGTGTAAGTAAATGTCACTATATGTTTTATTTTATGAAGCTGGTCCATGTCCATACACCGTGGAACACATACCTTGTTATATGTTTTATTCTTTATTTAACGAAATGATTTTCACAATAGTTAATTTGATTGAAGCATTTCTTGCTAAATATTTTTATTTTCAGGATTCTGTCCTGGTATTGTTTTATATTTCTTTTACAGCTATCATAGCAGATCAAGGTAGGCTTATGTGTACAGATTTATCATTTAAAGATGAACAGGTATCATCTTGTGTAGAACATGTATTGTGCACTGTATTATTTGATTTATATTTAATTGGAGCATTTCCTGTGTGCTTTCGTGATGTAATGCATCTCGTTCAAAGTTTTTTTCCTGTTTAATACAGAAGATGGTGTCTTATCATACAAATTACTTTGAGAATACATGCTGGCTTCGTAGTTCTGCTAACGTCTCCTGAATTATTGGTTTACGAAAGAATCTCTTTTAGTGCCACTTTTAGGCAAGTATTAGATATTTGATTTTAGGGGCTTACATTTCAGAGAATCTGATTTCTAAACGTTAAAAATGTAGCATATTTGTAATATGAGCTGATTCATTTCAAGTTACTAGATTGTGAAACTGCTCTAAGTATGAATTGCAGCATCTCATCTCTCATCCATATCTTTTGGTTCTCACAACTTCAATACAAGCTAACTATGTCCATGATCTGGTCTTTGTGAAGGTACAACAAAGTTCTCAACTTAAGATATGATATCAATTAAATAATGATATGATAGTCTCGCGATGTATTTGATTCGTGGCCTTCGTTGTTATACTATCATGTAGCCTCATCATAGATTTTATGTGATTTGTTATTTGACCAAGATTTATCATTATTTTACCTAGAATATATAAATTATTGAACTCTGCTCGGCAAATTCAGCAACGTTTTCGTCCATGGGCGGTATTCTAAATCTCGTTTCAGGGATATCTTTCGTGTTTAGTTACATTTAAGTTGATCTGAAAAAGTAGCTAGTCATTTGCAAGATGAGTAGCTCCGAAAATGTTGCTGTATTGAGCATTTTAATTTACTGTGATTATTTTTAACTGTCCCTTGGTTACCCATATAATTGATATTTGTTGGATGTTTTTTAGATCAGCGTTACGTGTATGATGTTTAGAATATGTAGCTTTTTAGTCATTTATCCTTATCATGAATTTACATTACGAGATTTCTCTGATGACACTCTTGCAGAAATTTCAAGGCACGGTTTTTAATTTCATGCTGGCTTTTGATTAAATCCGTATCAAAATAATTATAATAGAATGATGTCTAAAACCTTACATATTTAATATTTCCATGGAAAATACATACTCGATAATGATATAATATATTTGACGCTGTGTAGCTGACATAAATCACACTAAAAAATCATACAAATTAATGAAATTATGAAATCATCATCAATTATATAGTAAAAGTCCCCTGACAATTGACAACATGAAACTTATAGTAAGAAATTCACGCTAGTTTGATTGTTATTTGTATATGTGAATAATATTTTAAACTCTACTCTCTTTTTCAACATCTTTTAGTCATGGATGGAATCGTTACATCATCAGAGTTCAATAACCTAAAACAGGATCTTCTCTCAGTACAGGATACTATCGGACAGGTAGTACTGTTAATGAGTGTTGACCTAAAGTCTCCTAGAAAGTTTTGCCACATACATCACCATACTTAACTCGTTGATATCCTTAACACTATTATAAATATTGACATGCAAACCTTATAAGCAGTTGAAATCAAATATTTCGTTCATGAAATTAAATTATTTCAGATATTTGGAAAAATTGGAAGCTTACAAACGAAATCATGGAAGTTGAGAGAAGAAAGTGGAGATTTGCCAGTACAATTGCTGAGTAATAAATGTCAGTATTTCTCTTCAGATCTACATGCTACAAGAGCGAGCCACATTATGCTCCTTGAACTCATTGTGGACAGGTTAGTAAGGACAGTTTTTTGTAAACCCAACGGCAAACTGATTGTGTAGGGTCCTAGCCAAGAAGGAATCAGATTTCTTTTTACATTTGAGATTGTTCAAAGAAAATAATGTCAATGAATATGTGTGCCTGATGCACAGTATTAGAGCATATGTCGGCCATGTTGTACCGGGCCCCCACTGTGCAAATATATTTAGGCAACCTTTCTGCCCTTGATTTTTGTTATATAATATTGTGTTCTATTCCACCAGTTTTATGAGATGACCAATTTTAGGTTGGCTCTGATGTTGCAATCCTACATGTACTTCTCAGACAGACTGGTGGGAAAGCCAGCCGGTAGAATCATTGAAAAAGCTCCTAATCTAGGGCCCCTCTGCAAGAAGTATTGGAAAAAAGCAAAGCTATTGCGACAGTTTGTCACCTCCTTACAGGCTGAGGTATTTATTTATTCAGTTAGCACTAAGCGCTATACTACTATTTATTGTATTGCATTCAGTTTGGTTCATTTTATTGATCAATCAATATTGTGGTGACATTTTAGACCGTGCCTTAGTAATAATAGTTGATATTATTTACAGATACAGAGGAAGAGTGAAGAGCTAGTGAACATGGGACTGACTCTGGACCAAGCATACGAGGAAAACACCCTTCTCAAAGATATGGTTGTGAAACATGGCCTTGCTGGAGGATATGATACACCACAGAGAAACCAGCAGAATTCCGGGCCTAACCAGGCACCCAAAACAGCGGGCAGTGTTCCATGGTCTGATTTCGGAATGCCAGGTATGTAACCAAAACAGTTTGATAAGATCACGCTATTCGTCCAGAATTGTTTATTTTAGTGAGATTTCATTTTTGTTTGTGGTCTCATGTCTAATTTGCGCAATTATTTCAATGGCTTTTGTTCAAACACTCTAAGTGATTGCATAATACTTGGAAGCTCATGTTTAGAAGCAATGTTATTGGATATTCAGCACTTGAAAACTTGAGCACGACAAGTCGAATAATCTTGAAAGCAATTACTTAATTGAATGTAACTTGAATAGCCTGCAAAGTACATTCGTTCCAAAGGTTATATCAAACGTTCATAACATTATAATATTACTCATATATAACCAATCATCTAAAAGTGAGCATTTCTATCAGTACTAACAATAAATAAAGATAGAGAAGACAGACTTTTTGTTCACAAAACACCATTTGAACTTGATAACGTGGGTACATTGCTCGTTGCAACTGCTGTTGTATTATTTGTTAATCACAAAACGAAATACTTGTTGGCTATATGGTTTATGTTCATCAGTAACGATCATAATGCATATAAATAGGGGGAGGGGAACTCGTTGCCACAAAGGAATGTTTCTTCTTTGTAAGGTTGACATCCATGATCCGAAGGTAAAGTCCGGCATTGACTTTGTCAGTCACATCAGTATACTTAAGTACACATGAAGTAACGTGTTTTAAATTATACACATCACATTAGCATAAAAAGTAAGTATATTCTTTAAATTAATTACCCAAAACGTTGAATTACAAGAAGGACCGTTTCCCCATGAGGTTCCTGTTGCTTAGTTTAGTACTTGTTAAACCCTCATGAATCATGGCGAACAACACGTAACAGTTCAATGAGTGGTAGACTCTTAGTTGTGGTTTGTTTTAATTTGATTGAATCATTATTTTGAATCGAACACGATTCACCCTGATCGCTCATTCTTCTAGAACCTTACATCTAGTACATAAAATTCTTTATTCACTTTGCTGCTAAACTAATAATTCTGCGCGACATACAAATTGTGAATAATACTTTTATATTATTATGTGACAACAGACGAGAGGGACAGGCACTGTTTGACACTATACTAATGGTACATTATTATGTATTATATCATTATTGTATTATTAGGTATTATATTATATTGTTACTATCTATATTATACCGTACAACGCTAACGTTACAGAACAAAGGATTTGCATTTCTATCTGCTGTGACATATGCTCACGATGTTTAGGAGGGGACAAATATGGTATCATTAATGCATTATCAGTCCTAGAGGTTAATAGCGTAATAATGACTGTTTTCCTCGACCTTGCTTAGTATATTCTTGTTTTTATGCTATCTATCAGTGCTTAAGAGCTGATCGTCATCTTCAACATGCTTGGTACCAATGGTACAGCCTAATGAGGCTCATTGTTACAGTGAAATTATGAAACGACTAGCTTCTGATGAGATCTCTGATTGAGTGACGAGATCACGTTCATAATTCAGATTAATTTTTTGTAGATTGAATGGAATACATAGGAGCAGGGTAGTAAAAACTTTGTTTCTTTTCGTTTCGTATGATTAACCCTGATCGCCAGGGGTGTAGGAATAAATATCTTCGTGGGGCCGGGGGGGGGGGGGGGTTGGCTGAGGGGCCAAAATTATAGAGTTTTTACAATGTAGTGCGCTGTGCGCCTCAATGTCAAAACAACTAAACATTCAGTGTCAACCATGCCTGTAAATAGTTTAAAGTTTATGATAGGACCGTCGGGCGCCGAGCGGCCGAGAGCAGCATCCTGTCCAAATTCCAGATGATTTTAATGGAGAACAACAAAAATGTGCATAGGGAGCGTTCACACTTCACATATGACGTCAGCAAGATTTTAGCCAATTCTACCCCCCCCCCCTCCCTAGATCCCTCTGTCAGCAACTGTCAGCATTGAGTGACCCCCCCCCCCCTAATGACGTCAGCATTCGCCAGACCCCCTTGCCTTCTTAATCCCCTTACTTAATACTTACCCCCTCCCGTCAGCCAGTGAGGAGGTATAGAAATGCTGACGGGTGTAGGCAGGGACAATTAGTATGTGACTGATATAAACAGTTGGTCAACAGTATTCAGTTCACCGAACTACTAATATTAAGGAAATTAGCGAAGTTTTATTGTTAATAAAATTGATTTGAAACAACAATTTTTGCCATAATTCACGTTACATTTCTGCTGACGTCAGCAAGGCTCAGACCCCCCTCCCCCTGTCCAACATTTCTAAACCCGCCCCTCTCCCCTCGGCTGCTGACGTCATAATATGCGAACGCTCCCATACCCACAACTCAATTGTTCAATATTCCAGCTCAAACTTTTGAAGCTATCAGTATAAGTGTAGACTGCCCTCATCACGTCGAGACCAAAGGAATGGATATAATTAGTTGATGCACACTGCACAATAATATCAATGGTGGTATGTCAACTGACTCCGAAAAACAAAGACGTGAAAGAGTTTACTATATACAGTACAAAACCGAAATAGATAAAACTTTGAAGGAGAGCCAAGTTTGACAATTGACATTTGTATCTGATGAGGGCGGTAGTAAACTGACCACAGCTATACTTAAGGGGACATACACCAAAAGCTTTTATGCCGTGGCCCTGTTGTTAACTTCATATTAAGAAAGTATACATAAAAACAATAAGATTTGATACATTAAAAATTATTTTTGAGAGTACTTACTTACTTGTACTTGATTAGGTCTCCTCAATCATTCGAGTGGCCTGCACCAATGAACTCCCGTTTGTGACGTATCATCTCCCTCCAAAGTTTTCGGTCACTAGCCATCTCGCTCGCTCCTTCTAGGTCTATGTCAGTGTTTCCTGTAAACGATGCAGCATCTTCCAGCAAACATTTCCTCCAGTTCTTTCTTGGACGGCCCCTAGATCTTCTCCCATGGGCAGGGGTCCAGTTAAGCAGGTACTTAGGAAGCCTAGTGTCTGGCATTCTGGTGACATGGCCAAACCAACGCAGGCGGTTTGCTCCTATGTACGTCTCTACTGGATTTATCTTTGCACGCTCCAGCACTTCAGTGTTTCTAACCCGATCGAGCCATCTTATCCTAAGTATTCTCCTCAAGCAACGCTGATGGAACACCTCAAAGCGATGTAGCTGCTTTTTGGTTGTGTTCCAAACCTCACTACCATATAACAATATTGTCAAAACCGCTGCCTTATAAATCCTGATCTTTGTATAAGACTGGATGTTGCGGTTTTTCCATATATTACTCAGTTGATTGAAGGCTCCGGAAGCTTTCTGAATCCTAGCTGACAGCTCACGGTCGATAGTACCGTCGCTGGAAATAATTGTACCTAAGTACGTAAAGTCACTAACTTGCTGCACTGGCGTGTCTTCAACAGTGATGTTCACTGTGGCTTCTTTCGTGTATGGCCGTTGAGAGGTTGCTTTACCAATGACCATAGCCTCAGTCTTTTTACCATTGATTTGAGAGTACGCACATTTGAAAAAAAATTATTTTCTTTTTCCAAAGTTTTGGAAATTTTGAGAAGTCTGTCACTGTAATGCCGATATTTCAGTCATTTTAAACGTTTTTTGACTGATTTATTTACTGAACATTACTTACAATCCGTACAAGAAGCCATTGAAAGGATTATATAATTAAACAATAAATGACGAAGTTACAGGACAAACAAGGTCGAAAAAAGAAAAATTGAAATTTTTGCCTACTTCTAAAGTTGTACATTTCACCAATCACCCGGGTCAGCAGATATCGCTTCAAAAATTCTTGTGAGTGTAGCTGATGATCATATCAAACGTTTTGGAGTAGGATTTCTCTCAGATTTGAGTTTTAATACATATGAAATGTGGCCTCAAACGACTTAGTAAAATTCATCGTAAAAAAGGGCTAACAATGGCAGATTTAAGGCTTAAAATGCCTATAACTCAAAAAGTATTAGTTTAAAAAAAATGATTTTTACAGAATCGTAATCAGCTTAATAAGACAAATCTTTTAGTACCAAAAAGGTGATTTTAGAAGACAAATTGTCTTAAATAATTTTCTAGCTCGAACACAAGGGTCCCCCCTTGTATAAATTTTGTACAAATTTTTTTACAAATTTTGTGTCTTTAAGTACTATAAATTTAGTACTAAAAGATTTGTCTTACCAAGCTGATTACGATTCTGTAAAAATCAATTTAAAAAAACTGAAACTTTTTTAGTTATAGGCATTTTAAGCCTTAAATCTGCCATCGTTGGCCCTTTTTTACGATGAATTTTACTAAGTCGTTTGAGGCCACATTTCATACATTAAAACTCAAATCTGAGAGAAATCCTACTCCAAAACGTTTGATATGATCATCAGCTACACTCACAAGAATTTTTGAAGCGATATCTGCTGACCCGGGTGATTGGTGAAATGTACAACTTTAGAAGTAGGCAAAAATTTCAATTTTTCTTTTTTCGACCTTGTTTGTCCTGTAACTTCGTCATTTATTGTTTAATTATATAATCCTTTCAATGGCTTCTTGTACGGATTGTAAGTAATGTTCAGTAAATAAATCAGTCAAAAAACGTTTAAAATGACTGAAATATCGGCATTACAGTGACAGACTTCTCAAAATTTCCAAAACTTTGGAAAAAGAAAATCATTTTTTTTTCAAATGTGCGTACTCTCAAAAATAATTTTTAATGTATCAAATCTTATTGTTTTTATGTATACTTTCTTAATATGAAGTTAACAACAGGGCCACGGCATAAAAGCTTTTGGTGTATGTCCCCTTAATAAACCATATCATTTCCAATTTATTACTAAACTTTGAACTTATTTTCGATTTTTCACGTTTTGAGTACGCCTTGTTCAGAGTTCAGTACGATTAATAAGTTTTTTAAATCGTCAGCAACTGTCAGCATTTCCAAACCCCCCTACCCCCTCGGCTGCTGACGTCATAATATGTGAACGCTCCCATATTGTATTCTTTGGAAGAATTTCAGAAAGTTTGCTTTCAGGATTGAAATATAGCAATGTGAAATCATAAAGTGAAATCATAAATCAAGCAAGATTTTGGCGTTGCTGTGCCAATTTAGGGGTCAAAGGATAAAGTCCTTTAAATTTTGAAAATATACTTACAGTAATAGGTCTCAAAAAGGGTGTCAAGAGGGAGAATCTGCACATTTTTTTTTGGACAATTTGGAATTCTAGCAATGAGGGATGTAAATTTGGACTACACCTTGTCTTTAGCAGTAAGACAATTTGGATAATGCAATGGCGGATTGGCCAAATGAGCCTAAAGATGTTGGCCCCTTTCCGCTCCTTGCCAAGATTTTATGGGGGAGCTGTCGCCCCCCCCCCCCCCCCACCCGGCCCTACCCCCCCTCCTCTTCCTACACCCCTGCTGATCGCTCATTCTTCTAGGACCTTCCATCGTCCCATCGAGGACATGTTGAAATTCTTTATTCACTTTGTTGATAAACTATCGGATCCTGCGTCCTATGCGAGGGCAGTAGACTAGTTTAACACATGGTGACATGGTAACTAAGTTTGAGTTTCACTACTTCAGAGAAATTTTATAATTTTGTCGTTTTTTAATGTTTCAGGCTCAGTCTGTGAAAATCATATTATTTGACAAATTATCTCCTTTTTACTTCACATCTTATCCGTAATGGTAGTGCATCAAAGAAATGGTGAATGATCACTCGATAAGAAGAAAGTTTAGCGCCATATTACCGGCACGAAGATGGATACCTTACAGTTTAGTAACCCTGATAGTTACATCGGCTCTCTTCTTGTCTCGCACAAACCTACAATTTCAAGACTACAGTAACCTCCGTCTCTTTCTGGACAGCAGTCCGGTATTATCTTACCGGATACAGCTGTGGTTCGAGGGAAAGTGTGTTGGAACCTCTCCAGACGGCACTTTACAAGTCGTGTTCTGTAATCCTCGGGAGGAGCAATATTTCCAGTTATTACCGGACGGGAGGTTGACTTTTGAAAACATTGGTAGTGGCTTTGAAGGGAAATGTTTGCAACTGATCAATACCTCGTTGGTGATCGGTGACTGTAATTCAGCGATCAAGTTAGATCTTGTTAACGGTTCTTACCTTCGATTACAAGATCCTCAAAAGTTACACGGTAATGAGAAGCGGTGCGTATCACCAATAACCGTTTCTAACGAGGGCCTGGTACCCAATCCCAGCCCTGCGAATGGAGACCCTGTATCTCTCACCACCTGCCACAATGAAGCTTCCATAATAAATCTTATCGAAGAGAACTATTTCCAAAAAAGCAGGAAATATCTGCTGCTCCCTTTACCCCAAACGGAGGCTAAATGTGATTTTCCAGCTTGTGGAATCAACAAGGTAGCCCCTCGTGCGACCCCCCTCCCTCCAGAGATGGTAGATAGATGTTATAATTTGTCTCAGTGTGTTACTGTAGTTACTAAAACTGCTCGGAGGCCGCATTTCGTTTTGAGAATGTTAGAGTCCATGAGTGATAAATATCCGGATCTGCAAGTCGTAGCCTATGATGATGGAGTCGGGGAGTTTTCTAGCGAAATCATGGACGGTATTGCAAGTTATCCTAATCTTAACTACATAATTGGAGACGAGGAAGACTTAGGCATAGCTCGGGGTAGAAACTTAGCACTGAAACACGTGAAGACTAAATATTTCTTCTTAGTGGACGATGACAACAAGTTCACCTACCAGACACATTTAGAGTTACTTTCGGAGGTTTTAGACACGACAGATGCAACTTTGGTCGGAGGAACTTTTGCGTTATATAAGGATTTCGCAAGTTATCTTACATTCGGTTATACTAAAAAGAAACGATATTTAGAAGTAAACCACGGAGATTGTTTGAAGGAGAACGTGACTATTCCCAACTTCCCAACCTGTGTACGATGTGAGCTAACTTCGAACGACTTCATGGCTAGAACACGTGACATTGTAGAGGTTGGAGGCTGGAGTCAGGAACTGAAGGTTATGGAACACAAGGATTTGTTTGTCAGACTAAAAGCGGCTGGCAAAAAAGTTGTGTACTGTCCCGATGTTAAGGTGTATAATGCTAGACCGAGCAAGAAGAAGAGGGGAGAAGAATATGCGAAAATGAGATACGGGAGAGGAGCTAGGATGAAACAGTTATTTAATAGTAGGTGGAATATTGACAGGTATTCTTACTAATAAAGCTCCCAATGGGATATTTGCTTGTTACAAAATTAAATTTTAAATGGGATAATTTCTCATTTCTGTTTAAATTTTTATGTTAATACTTATATGCAATATGTTTTTACCGTGCAAAGTGTTTGATTACGTTTGGGGATGATAAATAGATAAAACCGGATACTCGCGAATATTAATTTACACGAAAAGAAGCGATCATCGGCGTGATCTGAATTTGCACACCCAAATAGGTGGACGCTTTTTTCTATCTGCTGCAACTTACTTACTGGTACATAACAAATGAAAACTTAAATCAACATGTACTCTAGAATTATGTTATTTTCAGCTATCATTGCTAAAAAACCACCAACAAAACTGTGGAGGCTTTGTTCCAGAAAACTGTCGGCGTAAACGTGGAGCACGGCTCTGCCCCTATCTTAACATGCATAATACCACAATATACATGTATGTATGTACATAGTTACCATTAAATTAGCACATCTACCCCAGTCACTATTCCAACCATTGCATCACCTGAGTCGTTTAAATACGTTAAAATAGAGGCCATATGAGGATCGGCGATGTTGTCCTAGTAATGAAAATTGAACGGGTTATAAAAATAGGAACAGTTTTGACGATCCCAAAGCCCCTGGTCCCCTTTTGCCACTTATAAGCTGTTTATTGTTGAACCAGGTGACAATAAAGTTACATGGTGCAATATACCAACATGTTGAGAGTACTACTACCATAGCAATGTCATGTGCTATGTACCCTGCACCTGGGCTAGCAGCTGTTCGTACATCTGTATACTTCAGAGCTAGCCTTGTTACTTTATTTTCGATATCTGTACACCTTAGAACTGGCAATATAACCTACTTAATATTTATTTTTGTATTAAACTTCATTACTTGCAAAATCAATTCGTAACTAATTACCTCAGAACATCTTAGAGATCTCGCCTTATTACTTTCGAGTGTAGCTGTTTTTACCTGTTGCTGGAGCTATAATAACATGTAGATTGTAGCATCAAGTAGCATGTAACAAACGTTATACCGCCTTGCCAGGGGGAGCCGGGAGCCGGGAAAACCAATGTTTACATACTCAATACTCAATCAGTATTACCATGAACTAATCTGTAAATTAGGCGAGTAGCTAAGGAGCATGGTAAACACGTGCAGCACGTCAGAAGAAGGCCGGCAGTGTGTCGTGCACTGCATGTTCAGATAGACCCCCTGGGGAGCTTGTCAGAGCACTGTCTTGTTTACTGTACAGTGCATGAAATACTTTCTGTAGTCAGACACTTGTCTCTCTTATCTCTCTCTCTTTTCAAACACTTATCTCTCTCTCTATCTTTCTCTCTCTCTCTATCTCTCTCTCTCGTTTGATGCTCTAAGTTCCTCCTTTGAGGTGGTCACTAATTGTGCTGCCTCGTGGAAACTCATATCATAGCGGTGGTGTGTTCGTTAGTGCGGTATTGCGGTCTATTGTTGCATTTGTGCTTCAGATAATATGTTTATAAACGTCCAGAAACAACGATGAACTAAAATCTGTGCATATATTATATACTAGGTTGTTCTGAACTGATTTAGGGCACCAGATTGTTCACTGCAACTACCCACCCAACAGAACTCCCCCACCCAAGATAACTCCCCCAATTACAAGCAATATGATGGCGTACTTATCAATATATCTGTGCTTTGAAGATGTCACAACTTTTCAAGGATTACTTGAAAGTTCACATCTCCATCTCGAACGGTTCTTTGCTTGTTATTCCGAGCAGACAAGCTTGATGTAATTGTTTACTGTAACTGACACGTAAATAATGATGACGGAGTTACGTTATTATATCAACTTATCAAACTTTTTTGTTTAATGAAGTCATTTTTTCAGCAAGAAGTTTTGGATAAGTTTAAGCTTGATAGTTGATCAATGGCTCATTATTCTGCAGACTTATTTGTAAACATATTTTGTTATTCGTGCCGCAATTGCTGTAAAATAGATAGCATCCTCATGCTACGGTCGCGCTTAAAAGCTCTTGTGGTTTTTCTAAAGTATTCATATTTCCGCAAATTCATCTTCTGAAATTATTTTGTCTCGTTTATATTTGATGGTTTCTACTTTGCCAGTTAAAGGTGAAGAAGAGAGTATGGCTGACAGCGCAGTCGACATGGTCCGATCCTCTGCTACCAGGTATGTACTTGATACTTGGACAGTCACGAATTTAAACCCCGATTTATCGGGATTGTTGAAGGAGAATATGGTAACTTTTGGGGATATGAGAAACGCCCGGTAAATCGGGGTGTTTGACTGCACCTGGTGTCATATCGTGAAATAGAATACATATTAGATTAAGTCGTATCTATTTGTTGATTAGCTAGGTATGATAATGCACTGTGTTGATAATTTGTCTTCTTATTTCAGCTTGGTATCTCAAGTGAAGCTGCCCACTCAGATAACAGTAAACAATATGAAGACGGTCTCCAAATGGCTGATGCAGGGAACTTCATCCGCCGAAGCTAAAACACAAACGGTTCAATCAAACTTTACTTTCTGTTTGGATTTCATAATTCTTTGTCACGTGATAATTTTTAATCAACCATCATACTGTTTTTAATCTTCATATCTTACAACATTCCAATAAAAAGCGCTGAATCCACAGGTAGAAACAGCGTTTGTGGAATGTAACGTGTGTAGCTCAATACAGGACCTACTAGAGGTCCTGGGAAGTAAAGTTACCATGACCTGGAACATGTTGCTCCAGCACGCTAAACCACCTAAGAGACTGATAATGTCGCCCCCTCGGGAGGCTATCAAGTGGTGTGAATATCATGTGAGATACTGTTTCTTTAATGTTTGGACCAATGATTCATGGAAACTGAAGTCATTAATGATGAATTCTATCATTTTAAGATACAAATTATTGAACATTTGCATTATTTCCCATAACTTGCTACAGAGACTTTAAATTGTATAATGACACTGAACTATTACCCATAATGAACCCCTTCATACTCACCCCAACCAAAATCAGACGACACTGATAACAGAGGTAGACACTAAAGTAAGACAAGTACAGAAGACATCAACAGACCTACAGCGCACGTGCGAGGAGCAGAGGAACAGGATCCTCAACCTGGAGAGCGTTAACGCGGTGTTGAAGAGTGAGGTGGACTCGTTACAGAGTGTACACAGTGGGAGTGTTACTGAGAGTTCTAAACGGGAGGAGATGCTCAAACAGCAGGTTTTTCTTCGGTCTATTTTTCTGTTGTAAGATGAAGTTTAGAGAAGGTTCTAGAGTGAAATATGTGAAATATTTAACTTAACATTTTATGTTTTTTAGCTGTTCTTTGCCATCTGGGGAGACCGTGTACTTGAGCACATGACACGAAATCTGTTCATTGACACCTCAGTACAGAAAGGTTTCATGAAGAAAACCCCTGGTTGCCTAGAACACACTCAAGCCCTCCTTGAAGAGATTAAAGATGCTAAAAGCCACAGAAGACAAGTCCACGTGATCTGGATTGACCTTATGAATGTGTATGGGAGAGTCCCGCACAGCCTTATTATTTATGCCCTACGCCGTTACCACCTACCTGAAAGCTTCATTAAGCTTATAATAGAGTATTATGGAAGCCTCAGTGTCCTAGTTAAGTGCAAGAAATGGACATCCAGAACATTCTGGTATGAGCTAGGCCTGTTCCAGGGAGACCCACTGTCCGTGATCCTGTTGCTCATAGTATTCAACATCCTACTGGAACTTCTAGCTGTACTGGGCAGTCAAGTTGGGTATGAGCCAAGCTTCAGTGATAGCAAGACCTCAAAGAAAGCATTTGCTGATGACCTAACCCTGTTGTCGAAGAGCGAGAAAGAGAAGGAGATGAAGAAGATGTTGAAGGCTAGGTAGTAGAAGAGTTCCTGGACTGGTCGAAGAAAATGAAGGCTAAACCATCGAAGTGCCTGTCTATGTCTATGAAGTGTACTGGAGGAAAGTACAATACCTATGATGCAGAGTGTGTACTAAGCGAACAACAGGTGCCGTCGGCAAGTTTCCATAACTAATTTTTTGTGATCAGCGGTAATAACCGCTTTTTTTACGCTAAAAAAGCGCTCATTGATAAAACCCACCGTTATTTGGCGATTATAAAGCGATTATAAACGGTCCCGGTAATAAACGGTTAAAAACGATTATAATCGCTTTTTCCATAAAATATTTTTGCAAAAGCGATTATTAGCGCTTTAAAAGCGATAATAAATCGCGAATTAAAATTATTAGTGATAAAAAAACGCTTTTATTTTAGGGTTGTCGATTATTATCGCTCCGTAAGCGCTTTTCAAAAAAACGCTTATAAACCGTTTTTTTGGACCGTTTTTAAAACGCTTTTAATCGACTATAAGCGATTATATTCACTAGAGATGAAGTTCCTAGGAATGTACATGTATGTAGATCTTGACATTCTTGAGGCAAAGGAAATTTGGTCCATGATCAAGAAGAAGTTAGAGGACCTTTTGGAAACAACGTCTAATGATGAAATCACCGGTCCAATGAAGGCGTGGGTGTATAACCACCTCATCATTAGTAAGATGTCATGGGGGTCTACTGTTTATAACCTACCCATCACATTTGTGAGAGAGCTTGAGGCACTGTGTAACAGATACCTTAAGAAGTGGCTAGGGATTGCGCATCCTTGTACCACCACCGTCCTCTACAGGAGTAGAGACCAGAAAGGATTGCAGCTGAAAAACATCTGCACTGAGTACAAAGTCATCCAACTTATTAAGGGACACCAACTTTGTAACTCAAGTGACCCCTACATCAAAAAAGTGTACTCTAACCATAAGGCTATTGCAGACACACAGAAGATGTGGTCTTATCCCAAAGAGCTGAAAGACCGTCAGCGCCAACTTTACTTCCAAGAGTTAGTTGGAAAACCTGCAGTTGGTACAACTGGCCTCGGGTATGGGACAAGATATGAGGACACATCAGAGAGGAAACTGCTAACCAACATGGTGAGGACCTTTGATGAAGAGACACTTATTTGTTCACTTTTTGACAAAAAGCGGCAAAACCTCTTTCTCACATGGGAAAATACAATGACATTTGACACCACGTGGAATAACTTGATCTATCAACTTAGTCCGGAACTGTTAAAGTTTCATATCAATGCTATTCATGACACTGCGTCAACACCTAGCAACCTAAAGCTTTGGAATAAAGCCGTTTCAGGAAACTGTAAACTCTGCAGCAAACAAGGGACACTCAATCATATCCTGACGTTCTGCAAGGTTGCACTAAGACAGGGACGTTTCAACTGGCGCCATGATCAGGTCCTACGTGAAATCATGAAGACCGTTTCATCACAGATTGAAGAGTTTAATTCCGACATCGCCAAGGAATCGAAGAGGGCACCGTCGGTCTTTCACAAGGCAGGCAATAAGCGCAAGAAGGTTACCTTAGCTGACCCAACTCATCATAAGACCCAAAGATATTTCTTTTCAGATGCCAACGACTGGAAGATAATATTTGATGAGGATGAGAGACAGAGGAACTTCCCGCAGCACATTGCAGCTACACCACTAAGACCTGATGTAGTGATCTATTCAGATAAAGCAAAGAAGGTTTATCTAATGGAGCTGACTTGTGGAAATGAGCAGAACTTTGCTGATCAAGAGAAGCGAAAGATGAAATGAAGAGATATCAGCAGCTGACAGAAGAGATAGAAGCCAACGGATGGGCTTGCAAGCTCCAGACAGTAGAAGTGGGAGCTCGAGGCATTTACAACTATAGCCTCCCAACCTTTATGAACCACCTGAACGTAAACAACAAAGAGAAGAAGAAGGCCTGCATGAAGATCGCTGAGATCAGCCTGAGGGCATCGTATACCATCTATTTGTCCAGAAACAATACCATATGGACAGATGATTGGGAGTTAGTCAAGAGACCAGTAATAGCATAGTAGGAGCGTAGAATGTTTGGGCCCAGAAAAACATGTTTAATACCGCTATGAACCCGTCATAAGCCGGGGACTTTTATGAAAGTGATGATGCTGTGTTGTTGAAAGACCTTCGACCAATCAAAGATGTACCTCATCACGCCAAGCAGTTATGCTTGTAGGTGAATATACACTTATAGAGTACAACAACTTTATAACACTCCTTGTTGGGGCTATAATACTGGAGGGCATCTCTATTGAGTTTATACCGCAGATATCAAAACAAGCGGTAGAGTATCATCACAACTTGGAACAAAGAAGAGTCGAAGAAGAAAGATTAAAAGAGAAGATAGCTGGGTTAGAGACAAAATTAGCTGATTACCAGGATAAATATTTCTGTGAAGGTAAACGTTTTGATATTTGCTACTTTTCTTAGTAAACCAATTAAATAACAGAATATTGTTAAATATAGATCAGCCCTATTTCATTTAAAGAATATTGGTAAGAGTGTTAGTAAGGATGTTAGTAAGAGTGTTAGTAAAAATGTAACAACGGTAACCTCGTCAGCTACATCTAAACGTGAGATAATGGACCAGCTATCAGAAGTGCGGCGGGAAGCAGAGAAAGCCAAGTTAATGAACCAAACATGTAGGAAACTGTCAGAGCAGATCAGAACACTGGAGTCGGAACATCACACTGTTCAGGATGAACTGAACAGATATCAGACTAGAAACGATCAACTCATTAAACAGAATAAGGTACAGTTTGGTGGTATCTAAATTCGCCGAAATCCGATTTTAATATTTGATCGATTGGATTTTACTATCTTAAACTCGAAAACCTCCCAAGCTTTATGTTTGATAAGACTCTACATGTTAAATAATAGCTTAAACCACATACTTTTCAGATGTTGACGATAAAGCAAGGGCAGCTGCTTTCCCAGTTGGAAGCATTTGACCAGGAGTGTGAAAACATGAGAGACCAGTTAGAAGCAGCACGTGACTCAACTTCAAACACCACGTGTGAGCTTTCTGACGTGGTCAAGCAAAAGGAGCAGCTTTACAATGAAAACACACGACTACTGGTTAGTGATTATATCTGTATTATAATACTTCAGTATTTTATCGGGTAAGTGACTGGTTATGGACGTGGGTGATCGTCGGTAAGTGTAATGGTCACATCAATAAAGTAATCATGAAGCAGCAAGTAACATTTACCCTTTCATGTTTATTTCATTTTGTGTAGCTGAAATATGCGTCACCTCTCCGCTTCGGCTCATGTCAAATGACCGGTGGTTGATCGGTAATTCCGTCGTATCGCGCGGTAACTACAAATTGTGGTATATATTGGACAGCGCGACAACACGAAGCTATTAAACTTCAACTGTTCAGCAGCTAGTGAATTGTGCGCGTGAGCGCAGCATAACGCGCGCGTTCGTTTGTTTTTCGATCTAGCTAGCTGCACTTTTAAAATAAAAGTTAAATGAAATAATCCTGATCGAATATTAATAAGCCATCCACATATTATCGAACGTTTTGAATAAATTATGTTTTACTATGACAACTATAAAATCATGGTAGAGTGAAATAACACTTTGCAGTTTGCAGTAATTTCACTTTCGAGGGCCGCCAATTCTTTATTTTGCTTGCATATTTTAATTTCACTGTATATATATGTCCAATGTGTGTGCATTAAGTTGTAATCTATGATCCGGAATACAACAATTATAGAATGAATTAATCTTAAAACTGACAAGAATCCGCCTCTCGGTTGAGATTTGAAATTCTTTTCGTTTAATCAATAATCTACCATCACTAACAGTGAACACTAATTCAGGAAGCGATCGAAGTTATACAAAGCGACATCTCAAATCTGACGAAAACACTAAGTAAAAAAGACAGGCAATTGAATGATGCCCAGAAGATCATAGAGGAGGAGAGGGAGAAGGAAACTACTCTTATCAGTTACCCTCTTCTGGTTGAGGGGGAGCGGATACCTAAAGAATTGAACCGATTGGTGGGTTCAAAATATAAAATACTAGCAGGAACCCGTGTATCAGTATAGGGGTGTCAACAGAATTTATTTATTTTGCGATTTTGACACCATTCGTCGGCCCAAATTTCGGTACATAAACATATTCACCTTTACGCTCTAGAATAATACCTATTTGATCATTTAAAAATTCAAATTCCCTCAATTTCACTCTGCTAATGATAACATTTAAGAATTGATCGGATATCCGGCCAGCTACGCGTGTCTGTAGACTGTACAATTCTTCGTGATACGTTCTTCTATATACATATAATATAGCCCCAAAACGATACTTTTTACCGCATCAAAAAATTTCAATCACAACCAAAGTTATAAATATACAGGGTGGGCCAAAAGTCAGTGTGCAAACGATGGCCTTAATAGCTCAGTCACTGAGTGCCCAATTGAAATAATTTGTTCTGGTATGACTTACTACCATCACTGGTTCGAGAAATTTGTCAAATCGAAACATATTTGTGTTCATTTTTTTCAAAAGAAGGTTCATTTTCGCATTTATTTGATAGTTTGGATAGTCGGATCGAGCCAAATTTTATTGAATTGTGTTTGGCCATTTAAATTACGTTTGCCCTGAAAAAATGAGGGTTCTAGCTTCTCAGATGACCGAGATATGAACCTTAACGAGGTTATTCATTACGTGTGATCAGGTGATTGGTTTACCTAATCACGTGATTAGGTGACCCCGTTAACCTCCCCGTTAAACATTATGGGAATCATGAAGGCTGCCCAATTAAGGTGTCGTGTCGCGGTGTCACATAATCACCCAGTTAATTTTGTTAACGAGATACAGAAAATGATTGATAACTTCGTCATTTCCAATCCGTTTTGCCTCATATTTTCAGATCATATGCAACATTTATTAATCTACTGTCTCTGAAAAAATTAGACATCTAGAGTACAATATAAGTGTTTTAATATTGAATGGGCGTGGTCTAAAATATTCGAATTTTCAAATTTTGCTGACGGAATCCTCGAACCAGTAGGTACAGTAAACCATCTGCAAAGCAACAACCCTCAAATATAAAACACGGCGGAGGTATATATATATACTAAGACCCAACGTTTGCACACTGACTTTTGGCCCACCCTGTAGGTATATAGCGTCATGAGGGTAAATGTTAGCTAGTTGTGAAATTCTGATATTTCAATCGAGAATGACAGTCAATTGAATTATTGCCAGGCAATTAAAATGTTTAACTGCGCAAAGTTATTTGCGTAATTAGAAAACAACAATATTTTTGTTGATTGTGTGTGCGCGGCGTAATGTCAGCATTGTGTGTAGCTCTAGCGAATTTAGTATCGAAAAAAAAAGTATCGATACTTTTTACTGCATCAAAATATTGCAATCACAAACAAAGTTATAAGAAGTCATAGCGTAAGCGTAAATGTGAGCTAGTTTTGAAATTATGACGTAGCATACAGCATAACAACGCGCGTTGTTAATCTGTTGCTCGCGCACGTGCATTTTTATCGTTGCTACGCAACAGCGCAGTAAACCTTTGCTAAAATAACGCCATTATTCTAACGATTATATAACCTCACTTCCGACGTTAATTATAAAAAATCTAAAGCCTAAATCAAAATTCTAAGAATGCTATAGCCTATTCCTATCCTTTTTCTACAACCCTGCTAAAAATGGCGAGGTTTCAACTCCATTTGCGAGCTGGGTTTGGCTTCACCAGAGGGTCATTTTGAGGTCGATTTTCGGTGTTTTTTCTTCTATGTCCCCGTTGCCGGGGAAATTTCGTCAAGTTTAAAATATAATATAGATGTATAATGATTGAATTTTGATAACAATAACATTTCGAAATGATCAAAGACTCTATTGAATGAAAATTAGGGTTTCTTTGTTAATTCACGAATGATATAGTAAGCCAGCTGAACGAGAAAACAACATCCGATTATTCATCTACTCAGGTGCAAGCAAACAATATCAGGATCCTGCGACTAGAGGAACAGAATCGGTTACTACGCGACACCTCGTTACAGCAGGAGCTGTACAACGCACAACCACCCAAAGAACAGAAACCTAACCCCCAACCTCTGTGGAGCAACAAGTGTTTTAAGGAGCTGGTTAAAAGTCAGCACGTTTTTGAGAGGGTCTTCACTCCTATAGACTATTACGATGGAATCAAGTCCCTTGTTGATGCGTATGTATAGATTTTAAATCGTTTCATTCAGTATAATAGTGCCAGCGTAAATAATATTTCTAAATTTTTAGAAAATTTTCCTGTCGTTAACAACTCGTTGCCGACGTTTGTATTGTCTAAAAAGTTTAAATACAAGGAGATTGAATAATCCCTTGGTTTCAGGCACGGAAAGGTGCGGCCAGGGAGCTGCCCTGAGGGTAAGAAAGGAGGAGGACTATCACAGAGCCCTGACAAGGTTATACCACCTCACAACTCACCTCTTCCTATCAGCAAGTCTCCTCATCCTACCAATCCTGCCTGGAACAAAACCAAGAGGTTACTAATCTTGTTATTATTTGATCCAAGTGCATGAGATAGGAATGCTGATATATTTTTGCTGTTTGCTGGCATGTGGAATGAGAATGTTTGGCTGTTTGGGTTTCTAACAGAATTTCAGTCCCCTGCCAGGGATCAAATCTCTTAACACTAAGAGGACTAAAATGAGAAGATAGGAGATTGTAATATGGGTAAATTTGCCCAAAATGTGCATATTTCAGTGATTTACTGTGATTGTGCTAGCATGTTTTTTAAATCTACTTCTTTGGACTAGAAAATCCAGATTACAATAACTGTGCAGGGTTAAATTGAATTCTACAAGTTCATTAAGACATCTCTACTTCGGGTGACAAGCCTATCTTTGACTTTACAAGCCAAGCACTGCGTTATGTTTTATGCAACAAAAACAACCTGCACAACTATTTGCGAAATATTTAAGCCGGGCCCAAAACTTGTCATTTCAATAATCCGTCTATTCGCAGGTTAAATTACAACTGTCTTTCTTGTGGAAAAACGTTTAGTGCCGGCTCTGACTTAGAGATACATCAGATTTACTGCCAGTAAAAATGGAGATACATAAGATCTTCTACCAAGAATTATAGGATTACATCAAATCTCCTGTCAAGAACCATGGAAAACCATCAGATTCACTTCCAGCATTCGTTGAAATAGATCAGATCTACTGCCAGTAACCATGAAGATCTACTGCCGTCTGCCAGTAACTATGGAAACTGTCATCACAATTCAGATCGTTTGCCGGTGCTATCTATCTTTCACCGTGGACAATATTAAAGGATAATAGGGATTATTGATCTTACCAACATCAGTTTTTACCACCAATGGTTAAATTATTTCATGTCGTTTGATATGGATTTCATTAAAGAGAAATTTGTTAAACCTAGTACCTATCTTGTAAAATATGATATTGTGATGATGTGAGAAACTCCTGGTAAATCAGGGATTGTAATATGTAGCACAACAATTTATCGTGTTACGATATGCAAGGAATCTCTTTTTCCTACAGCTTAATTTACACTTGTACTTAGTTTAAATAAAAAGCATGATTTTAGATTTAACGAGATGTTAGCACTTTTCTATTCACTCAAAATCCCAGTGGTCGATTATTTTGGGTGCTATTGAAGATGCTTAGTTTCAAAATTTAGTTAAAAAGGTCCATGATGACCCTGTGCACGATGAATTTGCATGCCATCGAATGAGAATTTGTAATAATTGGAACAGTTTGGGTTAAATTTTGACGTGAGTTATGAAAACTGAATCCTGTTAATTTGCATTTTTGTACGTTCTTTATTAATTTATATTCACATTAATTGTGGTTCTTACTAGTTTTCATATAACCTCAAGGTTTTAGACGTAAAAATATTCAATTATATGAAATATCAAAAAGGAATTAAAAATAAACGGTTCTCAATTATCACAAATACATCGAGCTCGCTGAGCGAATGAATTTCTCTGAAATGTCACTGCGGTCTTATCGAGCTTCTAGTTCTATTCTCCTATATTGGTTCTATTGTCCTTATTTTGCGTTTGATTCTGATCTACAGTTTTAATGATGGCTACTTTCTTTCTTAATTCATCCATAGTTCTCATCACATCTTTTTGTTGTCTTATCATGGGTTTCATGGATTCGATGTATCTTTGTTTGGGGGATGAGACTGCGTCACTAGCACTCGTAATTGTTCCGTTGCTAAAGTTACTGACGCCGCCGTTGCTACAACTAGCGGTGCCAACAGTGTTGACGTTGTTATTCATCATAGCCACTTTCATCGCTAAACCACCCAGAGTTTTCCAGTCTTTTGTTGGACCCGCTCTTTTCTGGAATTGAGTTTATGGCTAGGTAAGAATGATCAATAGTTGTTAGTTTAATTAATTTGTTCTAGTCGCTAAACTATGAACCCCTGGGAGGTGCTCTCAGCCCAAATCTGTGGGAATTATCTTGTAATTGTAAATCTGCAAATGGTTAAATTTTAAATAAAGATCACTCAATAATAACAACTGTATGGAACTTATTGCCGATTATGGTGATGGTTAAGGCAAGGTGGGGGGGGGGGGGGGGGGGGGCTCAATATCTTAGCAATTCACAAGGTCAGATTTTTATGCGATATTTTCCTACTTGTTCGTCTCCAGCAGCTTTGAAAAATGTTAAATGATCCCCCCGCCCTCGCCCCCCCCTCTGCCTCTGGTCTAAATTTTAAAACCATGCGTTTATAAACTGATAGTTTTAACGTTTAACCATTACCATCATCTCTCAGCAATGAATTAATAAACCGGAATCTTTCTTAAAGTTAATGATTTGAGCAAATAGCGAACAGCTTGGTCATTGGTAGTGGTACGATGACAAATTTCATATTTTAAAGCTTTCTGATAATCCGACCAACTTTAAGGGGGCATACACCAAAACAGGGGTTTGTGTCGGCCAACCCAAATGACCTCATGGGAGTTCAGTGACCATCTAGCGCACCGTTTCCAGTTCCACACCAACAAATTTTTTTTGGGGATTCCCATTTTTGTAATCGAAAATTTGGTTATCTGCAAAGCCAAAAAATTACATTTTCTCCCATAGGCATAACTTTAAAAGGAAGCATTTTAGGGTATTTGTTATTCATAACTCATATATAAATATGCTAGTTGCGGTTATTATGCACTCTTCTAAAAGTCTCTAGCGCATTCCTATCGAAATTTTATAATAATCTGTAAATATGAAAAACAAAAAATGTGCCTAAATTTGTTGAGGTGCAAAAGACTTTCCAGTTGAATAAACACATTTTTGAGGGGATCAAAAACTGCGCCAGAATTCAGAGAACAATTTAATGTAAAGCATTAAAACAATCCGATCTTTGACGGACTTTCTTGTCAAAACAAGCCTGAAAAGTAAAATTACCACTCTTTGACCTTAAAAATTTATAAAAACGCAGCCTTTTCAGACATAATACGATATCAAGATTTTACACATCTTGAACAAGATATGAATAAACTTCGTGCAAAATTTCAGTTCGACATCACAAGAAATTATTGACTTATACAGCCTTTCGAAAAATGCACTTTGACCAGGAAATGCTCGATAACAAAAATTAGAATCCTCAAAAAAATATATTTTGGTGTGGAAACGGTGCGCTAAATGGTCACTGAACTTCCTATGAGGTCATTTGGGCTGGACATTTTTGGTGTATGCCCCCTTAATAAGTAATAACCATGAAACTATACTCCAAGAAAATACGACCACTGACGAGGAAGCATTACATCTATAAATGCAATGCTTCCTGGTCACACAAATGTTAAGGTGGTTGTAGTGGTACTGGTACTGGTAGATAAATACACTAATATCTCACCAATGTCATAAGCAGATGATAAGTAGGTGAGACTGGGACCGGGTCGTATTTTAACTGACAGATAAATTGATGTCTGAACACCTTGGTGAGATTTAAATTTTGCTCATGTCTTGATCAAAAACCCATTAAATTTTAGGTTATCTAACTGTCACCAAGATATAACTTAAACTAAGTCGAACGCAGGAATAGCGTCCCACGCAGGCGCGTGATACTGATATATATACAAATAGCCTAAATAAAAAGCCGCGCCTACTTGAGATTGAGAATGAGACCTAATTCCTGCGTAAGACCTAATTTTTCCGTTCGACCTAGTTACATCTTGGTGACAGTTACTACTATACTATCTATACTAATAATCCCAATAAATGTGTGTATTACTATTGTTAACTAGCTATCCAAAGCCGCGTAGCACCAGCAATTCATGGTGTGATAGTATTTCTAAAAATATGCTCAAATATTTAATGTTGTGGTGAGGAGATCTGGCAATGATGGACAGGCTCTTTTAAAAAAGCGGCAAGTTACTTCAATAAATTAGTTCAGCTGAGTTGATATGTAATAGGTCTGGATACTGGCGAGGAGGTGAACCATATTTGTTTTGGTGACAGAGATTTTGGGATTGGATCATTCAATGCTCCAATTTGGTTGGTAAATCACTTCCTCGTGTCAGAAAATGTATGATTCACACCACCAGTATCTAGATTTACATAAGGCAAATTCAGCTCTAACAAGTCGCTCTTCTCACCGCATCAAAACATACAGATGGCCATGTTTTATCTTTTTGAGTCGAATTCCTTGCTCCAGGTATTCCTGCATTTCATGATCATGACACTATTAAGCAGGATTATCGTTCGAACTTACGTTTTTTTTACAGTTTATACCAACAGCGGTGGCACATCAATAGCGTAGTTCAATAATGATAAAATAATTAGACACTTATATTATAAAAAGATTCCTTTATAATTATAACCCACGTCATACCTTAGCAGCATCTCTGATGGAGTTGATGAGAGTGGTAACAAGAGTCAGCCCGAGGAGGAAGACAGCGAACACTCGGACTAGAATGAGAGCGTTGTGGTCCACCATACTGATGTCCCCAATACCAGTGGTGGTCAGTGTAATCACGTAGAAATACAGCGAGTCTATCATAGAGTCCTCCTGTGGGCCACCGGGTTAGTTCACACACTCAGGTATCTGTTACTCATTATTTTGATGATCAATGGAACGAAAGGTATTCAGGTTTATATTTCAAAGTGATATTTCAAAATCACAAAATCTGTTTGATAAATTGTTTACGTTCCATTAAAAGTTAATGAAGCATTTAAAAAAGCTTTGATATTATTCGCCCGTTAAAGTTAAAACTTTAAGGAATATCAAATGATGGAGTAGTTCGCTGTTTATTAGTCTCGTGATTGAGAGTATTAAAACAGTTTTAAAACTTTAACGGGGGAACAATATCAAAGCTTTTTTAAATGTTCCATTAACTTTTAATGGAACCTAAACAGTAGTTTATTAAACAACGGTTGATGTAAAGAAATCTATGATGGATGAGATATAAATATCTGACCTTGCTGTATAGATGAAGAATAGTACTCATAGTCAGTATATAGACGCAGAGTACCGTGAAAATTATGCACACTTTGATTATTCGTATCGTTTGTAGACCTGGAGGGAGAAATACCGAGTAACAGTTGAGCCAGGTCCTACATGATTCATCACAGTGTGTCTGAAACTTTGCAGACGCCGACGTGAAATTAAATTTAAATCGGTACCTTGTGGACCAAGTAATTTGTTGCGAAAGGTTAAAGAATCGCGTTTGACCTCGTTAGAAGTGTAACGCGTTATAATATAATTAAATGATGTCCATATAAATGCTCCTTCGCAGTCTACCTTACAGTTACAAGATATTAGATACGTATCTATTTACTCGACCCAATATACAATCCGCAGTAATGAGACTATTCTAACATCAACTAAGATGTAAGATACGTTTTACCCCTGCACGATTCTTATCCAACCATTAACCCGAGATTTAGCCAGTGCCCAGTACATAACGTACCACATGATCGATTAAGCCATATTCTGGCATCATGTGGGTTCTGGCACCATGCGGGTTCTGGCACCATGCAGGTTCTGGCACCATGCGGGTTCTGGCAACATGCGGGTTCTGGCAACATGCAGTCGGGATCGCATAGTTTGTAAACCCGTTCACACATGGTGCTCTTCTGGTCATAATACCTTTTTTGCCGCAACCTTTTCATTATTATTTAAATCTAGTTTTTATTTTCCATTTCTATTTTACCTACTTATCGTCCATCGATGGGCGTTCCCTTCTTGTCAGGGGTTCGGGGTAATATACATAATATGCATGTGCCATGTATATTGTATAATAATAATATGCATTATCTAACCAGAGAACACAAAACACGAACCTATTCGTCTACTAATCAATCTGATGAGAGCTGAGACACAGCTGGAAAGAGCATCACAGCACACATTTAGGAAACACAGCATGAGAGGTATACCCACCAGAGCGTAGAATATACCCACCATTTTCCCCAGTGTTCTGTCAGGGAATAGTGACCCGTATCCTGTAATTTTACCAACCTCAAATAGAGTCCCAATTTTACTGATGACAGTAAGTCTTTGTGGTGCATGGTTCTAGGATCCTTAATATTCCTTATATACATGATAATAATAGTATTCAAAAGTTCCATCGAATCCAAAAGGCCAAAAGTGTCCAGTAAATTATAAGACATGTTTGGGTAATGAGTCAATGAACAATCGACGCACCGTTGGAAATAATAAACATTCTAAGGTTATCCACAATATTGTAACTCTTTTGCCTTAACCGTGCGTCAACTGTCAACTGTCCATAGACATATCACTAAGTTTCCTATTTTTGAATAATTACCATGACATGCAATGCCTGAATAGTAAATATCCTCATACCTATTGTTGATATGATGGTAGAACAGTAATCAAAGGATGTCCAAAAGTTGAACCTTTCTCCAACTGCGAATTCGTTGTTGTCTTTAAAACATCTCGGCTGGTGAAGTACCAGCAGTTTCTTCCACTCATTATCCTCCAAAACATACGAACCCCTTTGGTCTGATAATTTGAAGTTTGGTTGCGATTAACCAATCAATATTCTCTTTTGAAATACTTGAACTTGCACAAGAAGGGGGAGG